ACAGTCGAGTGGCTGTGGTTTGTAAAAAAAAATGCGGATCCTTCTGGAACTACAGTAGTTCCCTTCCCAAAATACTGTTAACTCATTTGTAAATTACGTGATATGAAGAGGTTTCATTGCTCTAAACGTCGCCTTTTAAATTTTTTTCTTGTAAGGCCATACACAGTGGTATTGACGAATGTCGATTTTACTTAATGCTTGTACACCACTGCCAACGCAGCATCATCAACGAATAATTTATTCTCTTATCTATGGGGCCCGTTTTTTTACCATTTCCGGAAATTATACAGACGTTAAGTTGTTCAAACAGACTTGATACCTCGCGATAAGTTTGTCTATTTGGTGTTTGAATATATTGACACCTGTAATTATTGCCAGAAAGGGTAACATCTATTCTTATTATTTGTATCAATTTGTTCCCTTGTTTTAAAGTTTGTGAGGTTTTAAAACTCGTCACTTAAAACCCTACCCAATTTGCTTTTAAGTTACAATCCTGTAAAACAGGGGTGGGAACCTTTTTTCTGCCAAGGGCCATTTGGGTATCTATAACATCATTCGCGGGCCATACAAAATTATCAACTTAAAAATTAGCGTGTTATATTTGGTCAAACATTTAATTAACTCACCCCTAATGCGATGGCTGGAACTGCTTCTCTTTGGTGAGGCGTGTGATGATGTTAGCTGGTATTGATGATGTTAGCTGGTATTGATGATGTTAGCTGGTATTGACGATGTTAGCTGGTATTGATGATGTTAGCTGGTATTAACGATGTTAGCCGGTATTGATGTTAGCTGGTATTGATGATGTTGCTGCTACTCGCAACTGCTTTTCCACGTTTTGCTCCTAGATTTATTGAATTTCGAGTCCCGCCTGCGGTTGCCTTGGCAGGGCCAGAGACCAAATTATTTTGCGGGCCCTATGCAGCCCGCGGGCCGGACGTTCCCCACCCCTGCGTGTAAAAGAACACGAGCAGTCGTACTGGGTGCGGAATATTCCGTATTGTATTTAATCTACAAACGATTTTAGAAATGTACACATTGCAGTATTCATTCACTTACCGGCCTCGCAAGCTTCGAGTCATGGGGTTTATGAAAATCTTCCACGGGTAAACAAACACCTTAAGTACAAGAGTAACAAAGTGGGGCATCCTTCTAAACACAGCCCATGTAGAATCGAATAACACACACAAGCAAGAAGGTGCACACCTTCTAGAACAGCTAACAGTCAATGCTTTCTTACCATGGAGGCTGCTGTTGACCCTGAGACTCGCCCAAGCCACGGACACACATAGAGCTGGCCTGTGTTGAGTGAGTGCTTCTATTGACACAGCTTACACTTTTACTTCGGAATTTCCAATGGCAGAAGCCGCCACTAAGCCCTGCCCTGACCCAACCCAGCCAGAGTCCCTTATGTGGACCCCGTCAGCACTGGGCGGGGATTTCAAACAGAAGATGCCCCGTTGCCCATTTTTCATTCAAATGGTGCACATATGTAAGCAGCATCAGCAGCATGATCAGCGACATCCTGAGAAGAAGAGTAACTTTATAGAGAGCACTAATGTGTCTCTGAGATTAGTTCCGAGAGAAAGCGCCCTCTAGCTATCCCCGCTGCATGCAATTCCACTGCTAGTGTTATCGGAACTATGTGCTCACAGCACTGTGAACAAGCTTGATAGTTGTTTGGTAAAAGGTTTTGTCGAAATATTTAAATGACGAGAAAAACACACACTCGAGTACTGCTGATGGGTTGTTTTGCATAACGTACAAAGGCTGGGTGCCTTTTGATCTGTTTTTGTGTTTGTTTCAAAACCTAAAAAGTGTCATGTTTCCAAAGAGAATGTATTATATGGTAAGTGTGCAATGTTTGTGAGATAGATTTAAATAGAGTGTGTCGTTTCAAGCAGCCACCTGCCATAACAGTCGCCACATTTAAGGATTAACCGTTTACATTTTTAAGTCAGTGTTATTGACAAATGTGTTGTTTTTGTGATTGTGCCGCACTGCCAACGGACTATCAGCAAATAATTGTAATTGAGGGATTGTTTCCAGCTCAACATTGATTCACCTAAAGTGGTTTATTCACATTCCTTGCCGTTTAATTTCCCAAAATAATGTTTGACTATGCCTTGGTATATTAACCAACCAGGCCAATACTTATTACTGTGTATTGTATTGTACAGTATTTTCCCCATTTTTATCTTTGTTTTTATTTCAAGTTAATGTTTTTAGAAATATATTTTAATTATCTTTTTCACAACAGAAGCCGGCAAAGCCAGAGTAAACATCATATGGCCACCTTCGTCATCAAACATTATGCCACTGCTGGATGAATCAGTTCAGGTGCTAGATGGTCTCCCCCATCCAGCACCTGAACTGATTCACCCCTCCATCGACGAGACGGACGTCCTCTCGGATGCATTCCATTCCTTGGCTGCCGCTCCGTTATTTTTCTTGATTATTTACGGCCAACATAGATGTATGAAATCGGCGTTACCCTTTTGTGAGGCAGGGAAACTGAGAAAGGCGAGGAGGCTAAGACAGAGTTGAACTGAAAGCAAAGGAAAACATGGTGACAGGGTAAAATCTAATAAGTCTGTTGTAAATCTACAAAGGGGGACTAGATCCCATACATCACCGATGATCCCTAATACAAATGAGCACGTTTTAATCGCCTCCAACCTCTATTGAGTCCTTACGACTCATCATCCTTCCTCATGATATAATGGATAGCCGACAGTTTTCAGATATCAAAAGAATTGTAACATTTTACAAACTCATCTAATGCGGGTACATTAATTATACATAAAAGGCATGTCTACATCTAGTCTATAAAGTCATTTGCTAATAGCCTCAGTTATTTGTGATGACCTGGCAATACCTTGGCACCACATATTAAGATAATTGGCTTTAATATACAATTAATGTAGAATCTGGAGTGCATTCTAAACCATTAAATTTTATGGCCGGATCTTTAAATCTCACCGTTATAACTTTTAAAATCGCTGTCTAGCAATCCCATTGTTTTAGAAAAATAAGTACAGTAGAATGGATTTGTCAAAACAGAGCAGAGTGGAATGCTTTCCATATTTACCCCATAACAATCATTCCCCAATCTCCACTTGTACACTATCCAGTAACACAAAATTCAGCAATTTCATGAAAATCTAAAATTTTCTTTAGTCCCGTGATATTAATCTGTTTAGCTTAAACAATGTATTGGTTGTGGCTGAGAGAAAAAAATCCCAACGAATTACCTTTGCAGAAGTCCCGTGGTATATCTTGGTTTCCATTTGCATTGATGTTGTCACCTGTTGTTTAATTTTCACTTGCAACTTAACGTGGTCAATGAGCACCTTACGCAAAATAATGATTTACACTACACACACACGTTCAGCAACGCCACCATTTAATGTAAATGCACCTTTTGGTCCTGCATACGGCAACCTGTACACGGATACAATCATTTATTAAGTCTGGAACACAAGTGTATTTATGCAGTGTAATCTGTTACAGTCAGCTTAGGCAGGGATTATGAGAAGGGGTGGGGGTTGGGGGCCACATGGGGCAGCCAAAGCTTTTAACAGTGGGAGAGGGTAGGACACCAACTAGGCTGAACCCAGGTGCCACTTTGTCTGCATGCAACAGTGCAGGGATTATGATTGTAAGTGAGCTATATTGCTCTTTTTCAGGAGCGACCTGGCCACAAATGCTAGCTCAACCAAGCGGCTTATCGTGTGGAAATTTATCGCACCAAATTATAAGAAATGCATGTTTCTAAATGTGCAGGGAAAAACCAGAGAACCAGGAGTAAAATCCACGTGACCATGGGGAGAATACGCAAACTCCAAATATACAGCAGGTGTCAGGGTGGAGATCGAACCCACAACCTCCTGTGTACCAGGCGAGGCAGTTAACATCTCGCCACCGGGGCACCCCATTAAACTTCAAGGTATAGAATATCACACATTGATGTCTAGCAGTCCATAACATCACTTGGTAATTATTAGGCACGTAACAACTTACCCCCCCCCCCCCCCAAGTTATTTGCGCAATTGATTGTCATCAAATGAGGGTACAATTATAAAATGTACTTTAACCATATTTGTGTGTTCTCATGTTTGTGCAATTTGTTTGCTTTATTAGTCGAAATGTAAAATCAGCATACAATTTGCATTCATTGTATATAATATATAATCAATGCTTCCTCACATAATTCATGAATCACGAAAGTAAGAATTGGTTTAAACATAACCTTGCGTTATTACATACCTATTAACTTCGCGTGCAAACAGGTGTATTTGGTCAATGATGTCCACTGCCTATGTCCACTGAAAACGGATTCACCAGTAACATCAAATGCCTGCCATATTTTCTACCTTGGCATTAAAGCCTTACAATTATTTTCTTCCCAAACGCACATCGAATAAAAATGTAATATAATTCCAGCTATACGGCTTCCAGTCAAGGATTTGGAAGCATTTGTTGGGAATATTAGTCCATAAGAGGATTTTTGAATATTAGTGTTTGGATTGTAATTACTGTATCGCAAATGTCAGTGCAGCATTGTAAGGCCGGAAAACAGGCAGATGATGCATGGGGACAAATGCTGTCTTGTCTCAGAGCAAAGTCAGAGAGTGGTGGTTCATAAAACACACAGTACATTTTATTTAAATTATTCATATTTTTGAATATGTAGCACTTTTACATGCTCTATTTTAGTTAAACTACATTGTAAAGTCACTACAATATCCAAAACTTTAAGTATCCAAAAATAAACATTTTATTTCATTTTTATATGCATAAATGCCCTTCAGTAATACTTTGCTCAATTTTTTTTTTGCTAAAGTTAATGCCATAGTACCTAGTAATAGGTTTTACCCTTTTAACTGGCACAAAAAACTGACACCTTCATTCAAGGCATCATGTTTGCAATAATCACAACACAAGCAGTTAAAATGCAAACAAAAGAGACAACTCTGATAATAATATGCACTGTCCTTGAATTTGATTGGTCCACACCCGAGACGGCTTTTCTTACAGCCTAGTCTCCACTGGTGTTGGACCAGATGACGCCAAAAGGGTAAAACCTATTACTATATCAAAGGAGGTCTCATAATGTAAATGCCATAGTACCTGTATTAGTATTAACAACATATAACATTTGAAAATGAAGTTCCTTTAGCCCCAGCTTGGTATCTTCCATGTCACATCATCCATTCAGCATCTCTGTTTATCTCTGCAAGCGACACGAATAATACATAAAATATATAGTATATTCAGAATTAAAAACTAACCTTACACATATATCAACCATATCATGGTATGCCCCAAGGTCACTCACTCAGCAAAACCCAGTTCTCTCTACCAAATATCCAGGGGGCGTAGCCATCCAAATATCCAGGGTCGAGATCACGGTTGAATGGAGTTATTCGGCACATACTTCCAATTATCTGGGTTTATCTGTTGTCACGTACCCCAGATAAACGAGTGCAAGTGATCCGAATTTAACTTTATTCACCTTATGACCTGATACCAATATGACAATAATCATGCACTTTATCAAACACTAAAATATAAAAATAATTATTACAAAAGAATTGTCCACAATTACCCAATGAAAACAACATTGATGCCCTTTAAATTACTTTTAAAAGTCCAACAAGTCCACCAAAGTTCATGCACTGGACTGAATCTTAAACTTATAAAACTATTTTTTTGGAACAAAGTGGCTTTGTGTTGCCTCACGAAGCAAATTTAGGGCTTAGGCCCCCTTAGAACCAAAATGAGATCATCCAAAACCATAACCTATGCTACAAAGTACAAATCATATGCACTATGTAACCTTCTTCATTATGTGTTTGCTTAGGTTTCTCAGAAAACCTCATTGCTGTGAAGACGTTGAATTTAGATTTTATCATGGGTGCACAAAAGACAAGACTGCTGTTTCAGCCACATAACAGACACCCATTGTATTTTTATTACAAGGACTGTGTGTTAGTAATATACTCCAATTATCACAGTCCTAAAGAATCTGCAAAAATGCTAACATCATCTTTCACGAAAAAAATTTCCTGCCTTTTTGAAAGTGAAAAAAAAAACCTTGTTACATTTTAATCTAGCTTAGTAATAAGGTTTGCTGTTTGATATTTAAGAAGACTACAAGTACCGTATAATACAGTTGCGTAAATGCATTTATGTTAATATGTGGCTTTTAGCCTTCAGTCCTGTTTCGTGTTAGCCAAACAGTGACTTTCAGTGTGGGCATATAAATGGAAGCATAGATAATGTTTTAATGAAAATGTACTGGAACATTGGCCTTATTTTGAAATTGGAGCAAAATATAAATTATTGGAATGTAATAATGTATGTTTCAAACTACAGCATAAAGACTAATCCTGCATTACAGCCAAATGCACAAATAATGGAATTGTTTTTATTTACAAAAGACCAGGGATATTGACATTTTAGATCATTACCACTGTATGAGTGTATCTTTGTTAATACTATGAATACGTTTTCAACATCATCTTAAAAAGCATATTTATTGTACAAATCGGCAGTTAAAGCTTAAATAATAATACTACCCTTGATTTGAAGCTTTCGTGACTGCAGGAATCCATACTCTCTGATTCTTTAGGTAAAGTCACGTAGGTGGAAAAAATGATAAAATAACACGACGCTTCGGTCACAACGAAACGTCATGTTCTTTTATTATTTTTTCTATCTATGTGACTTTACCGAAAGGACCAGAGAGTAATAATACCACCATCACATCATGCAACATGTCACCTTAACGTGGACATAATACAGCTTTTGTTGGTGTTTGTCCTCACTTGTATAAAATGATGTCACCATCATCCATGTGTGTAGCCAAGTCCTCAAACCCCTGAATCCAGCTGAGCCGTGCCACCACCTCTTGGCTGAGGCTTTCAAATGGATGCAACCCCTGTGTCCAGAATGCAGACAAATATTTATTATAAAAAAAATAGGAAAGTTGCAGCCCTGCAATTTCTTGCTCACGCCAACGTTAGCAGAATCGCCTCCACTGGACGGAGATCTAGAGAGCCCCCTCCAGAGGGAATTTGGTCTGCTCTTCCCTCCTGGCCAGATGTGGCTTGCTTATCGTTTCAACTCCCATGCCAGAAGGTCGAACTGGCGACCTCTCGATTGTACGTCCAGTGTGCAAACCATTCCACCACGGCATCATCCGAAATATGTAATGTGAACTATCAGAGCCGCATTTAGAAATATTGGCAACCGGGGCAAGGTGCCATCCTTGCGCACCCCCCTGCCTTCCATGCACATAAATTCAGCAAACTAAACATTCCTCTCCACAGTGATATATTTCCATATTGTCTCATATGCTAATATTACATTTTTAACGAAAGGGATAAAGACCATAAAAAACAGGTGAGAGACGGATTTGGGTAATGAGAACAAAGCAATAATCATACATGGCACACTGTAGGGAATAATTTAATATAGTCTATAGAACTACAGTATGTGCACATGCATACAACCGTAACACTGATAAAAACACAACGCAACTTTCACAAACACGAGACATATGAATATCATTCAATTGCATTTGCCTTTTAATATTAAATGTCAGTTTAGCTAGGTGGTGGTGACACGTGCCTCTAATGCAGCACTGTAGAAGCGAGGGTTTGTGGATCGCACAAAATTTGAGAAACTCCCTTCCCGTGGGCGTCGAGGAGGTGCAGTACAGTCAAAATGTGGACTCCACCTATTTCGTCTGTGTTCTACTCTCGCACGTGTGGGTTTTCTCTGGGTGCTCTGGATTATTCTCACATGTAAGCACATATGAATTGGCCGATACCACCTTCATATATAGAGGACCGCAAAGCTTGGGTAATTGTCGGCACCAGCTCAATAAATGGCTGCCTTCCTGCTTGTCAGTGGGTCAGGCTCGCGCCTCCGAGTCATTCTCTCTCTCTGAGAGCGAGTGAATACTGTGCGCATTACAAGTTGAAAATATCAAAAAGGCAGGAAAAGCATGCAAAAAAAATACCTTCAAGTACGAAAATATTAGGTTCTCCTTAGGAATTCCGCTCAAGTCACTGATCTAAAAGAAGGGAAAACATTTGTATGAGATGCTTAAAGTGCAAAAGACATTTTATATTTCAGTGTCACATTACATTTGCAGATGCATTCATGTTTTCATTCATTTGGGACAGTTAATTATTCGCAATTATATAAACATGAAGTTAAACCAGGATATCAAAATTTAGAGTCACTGGTGACAATGGTTTAGAACATCGTGCAGTGTAAAAGTGTTGGTGTAGCAGTGGTTATTTGACTGCACCTTGCCAGGTAGCTTGTGCATGCTATGGATATCCCACAGGAGGTCCTGGAAGGGACCTGGCACCCTATCTGCTGGCTGCACCGAGCCCAAGTGCAGACGCACCTGCAGCACACTGCGCTTCAGCTTGGAAGGGTCTGCCGGGACCACAGCATAGCGAATCAGAATTAAAATGATCATCACCTTCCTACATAACAAGTGCCGTGGGCGTCGCACAAGTCACCTTTCAGGGTTCAATCAATCATCAGACTCTTCGTTGTTTCACTTACATTCATGTAATGCTCATTAAATGTGTTTACACTGCTTGACGTGAAAAGACTACATCCAGCCCTCAGACTACATCCAGCCCTCAGGGCTTGGAAACAAAGCTGGTCAGAAAATGAGAACAATAGTATATACACTAGGCCATATACACCAGGTTTGTTCCATGTTAAAAACTGACACTCTCTCGCAAAAACTTTTATTTTAAGATAATCGAACAGATTCTTACGCCGCTGAGGAACACACTATTAAAATAGTTAAAATGCTAATAACGTACGAATAGTGATAACAAACATTCAAGGCAGTGTTTTCAAAACGTTTGTGTCTCTTGCAATATGGTCCAACTTTTTACGTTTAAAACATTATTGGGTATTTTTGCTTTTATTTCAATTTCCATATGGATGTCATGTCACGAGAAGAATCCGTTTGGAAATCTCAGAACAGTGTGCCCCATGTATCGGAGAACAACCCGTGGAATCTTTTTTTCACAGGACCTCTGAAAAAATGTTCAAGTGGCCTTTTTGTCCTATTTGTCACATCAAATTAAAACTGATATTTTTTCTGAGCTGTTATTTAGCCAAATCACGTAGAAAACCCATTATGACATTGAGTTTTTTTTGTATTATTGGTCACTGAACAAAGACCATCAACTCACTACACTGGAGAGCCTTGTCAATTACAAACACCTGCCCAGATTAAATCCCAGGTCCTAAAGTATAGTGGTGTCTGCTTACAGCACCCTGACCCCTGTAAGTATGTTGAATTTCTTCCGCAACCGTGCTAATTGGAGGTGAGAGCCACCTTCACAATTTTAGTGATTTTATATGAAAAATTTCTAAATCAAAATATAACCATATCAGGACTTCAGCTGAGAACAGTTGCATCAGACGAATGGCTGTCGTCTAGGCTTGAAGAAAATAGCCACTAATTATTTCCAGATGGCCCTTCAAATAAGCCTGCGTCCACTTAAGCCACAGCTTTAGAAGACATCAATATCTATAAAAGTAATTAATAATTATTTCCAAATGTAAAGGTCATTCCATCCATAGATCACAATTTCGCCATGTATGGAAAGCCAGAAATAAATAGAACCTGGGTAAATGGCCAGAACTATGGGCTAAATGCTAGTTTAAAGCAGTGAGTTTTTAAGACAGACATACATAGAACTAACGACTCTGATTGCCTTATTACCAAAGGTAAAACGTTCCATAGTCTGGGAGTTGCACTGGCAAAAGCCTGATCACCCCATGTATTTGTTCAATGAAGAGTAAGGCCCTTATAAAATTACTAATAACATCATTATACAATAATTTCCTTGTACTTATAGTTAAAATATATATATAATGCATTCACCAGAGACAATCTCGATATAGAAATCCCGGTCATTCCAGAGGCACACGGAACGGCCAAACACCTCGTAATCGACAAGGATCTCCCCATTCTTCTTGCACAGACAGAAGCTGCAAAGCAGGACAGAACATTCCTCATTACATTTTCAGGAATGCTGAAGGATGATGCGTCAATAACACATAGGACTTGAGAGACACACACTGCACTGTATAAGACATGGAGGAAATGTGCTGATATATCGATATGAGCATTGGGGGAAGTAACAATGCAGGGGGGGAGAGAAGTTCACAATATGTTGTTCATTCCTCAGGTGAATGCGGTTAATGATCTTAGGAATTTTAAAAAAATGCATACAAAAAATTGAGTGATAATCTCATTCCTGGAAGTAAACAGAAAGTGATCTATCTACTCATTGTATACTTTTGGTTTGGTTAGTTAACCTTCGAGATGAAACATTTTACACAATAAATTATGATTATGAAATCATGTTTAACATAATCTTCTCTTTATTGACAACACCTCGTGATGGAAAAAGAAAAGAAATACTTTACAAGCTGGAGAATCAGTCTAAACCGGTCAATATGTTAATTTATGAATATTAGGCTCACTGTACAGTAAGAAACACTCACACCTGCACCATTCAGTAAAGAATAACCAAGCCTTTAATTGCGAGCTGTGAATGAACAGGCAAAGCCTTGTGCTGACCTGTCGCCTGTGAGGTGGTGGAAGCCCTGAACTCGCAAAGAGGGCAGCAGCTGCTCTTTGACCTGCGCCACTGTGGTTCCCTCACTCAGCAGGCAGCTGTGCATCAGACTGCCCAGCTGCATCTGTTAAATATATGAATGCCAATAGGACATGAGATAAATTAAACAGGAAGGGACCTCAAGGATGTAGCCCACCCATATAGCGTTAACTTGTTTAAAGGTGGGCCGTACAAAAACTCAGGTGGGACACGCACACAACAACGTTAAACGATCTTTAAACAATTTCTAAACGGAATGAGTAAGAATATGATATATTATCCAGTGCAGCAACACTTTTTTAATTGAATTTAAGAATTTAGCTGGTGGGGCTGAGCCCCTCTGCTGCAAACCCAGTCCCCTCCAAGCCCCCATGATGCTACGGGGCTGACCTGAAGAGACCAATAGATGCCCTACACATAGCAACCGGGCCCAATTACTCAACCGGGGTTACACATCGCAACCATCGCCACCCCCCCTATTGGCCAAATAATGCCTTGCAAGCGACTGCAGTGCTCACCTTGTGCCGCACAGAGAGATTGCTTGCATTATGGGCGGAGGCTAAACACTGCCTCCTGAAACGTTTTGTTACATTATCAGCGCGATGTAAATGCAAGTATTATTGGTATAATCAGTATTATTAAAATGATGAACATAAGCACGTTGCGTTGTGTGCAATGGTAAGAATTACAGAGAAATGTAACGAGTCCAGAGGCAGGAGGACGATCTGATGTCGCATGCTGCTGTATGTAGAACTTATTTTGCATCGTACGTAGTCAACCGTGCTAATCAGAAGGATAACAAAGTAAACGCAAAAAGCACTTTTAAAGAATTTTGTTTTAAATATCGATTGAAGAGTGCATAGCTCCAATGGCTTCCCAATAGCTCACCTGCAGATGGCCACCCTCCAGGAGGTGGAAGTTCACGGTGCACTCGTGTACTCTCTGCTCATTCTGGCCACAACGAGGAAGACAAACACCACAACACGTGGGTGTGATGATCACCCTCTCTACAATTGTGGTCTCCTGTGTTCGAGCCCGTATAGAGCATTTCTTATTTCAAGCTTTCGCTATGCACGGCTACATACACAATCAATAGTTAGTTGACTCCTGACGATTACGAGTGGCTGCAAAAATCCACACGTTCCACAAGAGTACACTTGCAGAGCTCCCAAGTCCACAACTCATTTAAATGTTAAAACCTATTTGCTTAAATATTAAGCTTTATTTACATCTTAGGCTTAATTTTTATTGTTTTATATGGCAAATTATTATTTTAAGGTTCTATAAACTACCATTAACCCGCGCTGACCAGCGTGTTGAAGTCTGGTCAAATTACTCTCGCGATTGACATGGCATGCGGAGGCCCTCATCCAGTCATGGATTTACCGTTGGGCTCTACATGTACTCATGCCATTGACCTTTTTTAATGTTTTCTATAAAGCTTTGGTTGACCAATGCCTTCCATAAAAATTACATGAATAGTCTTATTGGGTCCGTACCTGGTTATGTATGAAGTATATGAATGTCGTGAGAATTTTATTGTTTTATATTTTTATTATTAAATGAATGTCTTTAGCTTTATTTTGATGTAAGGCAGTTCTCAATAAAGTATACTGTATATGTGAAATACTGGGAATATCCTGCATTGTGTACTATACATCTACTCATCAGTGTTGCTTGGATACCTATAACGTACAGACAACCATCTCTGGATGCTTAAAACTCACTGCTCTCAAATTACCACGCGACATTAACTATTCAAATGCCATAAACCATTAACACACTTGTTTAAAACAATGCAATATTGAATTTGGTGGCATAGCTATCGAATGTGTAGGCGGTGCAACTGCACCATGGTGATGCAACTGCACTGGAGGGATTTAATGCGCTGGGCTAAGAAGAGGGGGGGGAAATAATCAAATGTCACCATTGTATGCCTTGTACCAGGTCCCCAAGCCAATCGCACAAGGTCATAAAAAAAAGTGTAATTGTAAAACAAAGTATGTTTCTTTGCCTTATTTTCTACCTGGGTGTTTTCTGGAAGGAATATCTGCTTTGTGTAACGCATCTCCTTGAGTAACAGTTCATCCGCGTGCTTGTCAATCCGGCTGGGAAGGTGCTCCGTCTTGTCCCTGACAAAAATGAACGACAAAAGAAACGAATCGAAGCGGGTTTCGTAGGACGGCACAACGGCAACGCTGTGACCGCGACTTCGGCACGTGTCTGGCGAAATGTCGGACCTGTACAGAACGAGATCTCCATCGTCCCAGTCGCTCAGGTTGTGCAGGTCGCCAGCCCAGCCGAGCTGCTGCAGGGCGACAGCTCCTTGCCCGTCCAGGGAGCTCGCCACATCCTCACAGCAGCAGGGGGCGCAATTCGCACACACACACGGCACAATGAGCCAGTTATTGAGGAAATGTCACCATGTATTCTTCTTCTCTTCATGGTTGTCGTGGTTCTTTTTGTTACATACTTTACAGGGTTATTCACACATTTAAATGGCATAGTGATGAAGTCTGGCTATGTACCCTGCTGCTTGTCATTATAAGATATGTTAGTCCACGCAAACTTATTCCAAGCTAACAATGTTATTTTAAGGCTCGTGAAAATACAAAGACACCGTTCTCGCCAAAGCAGTGTAAATTTGTCGACCCATTAGTTTTTATGCACAGGATAACTTACTTAAGTGCCTGATAGCAATTAAAGTTTTCATTAATGCTTGAGTACACCCTTTTTTTGCAACTTAATATGTACCCCGTCCTTGTACAGCATTTTGAGATTGTTAAGAATGTTTAGATTGTAAACCATTTCTTGATTCTAAATTGTAACAATTGATGGTGAAAGTAAATAACCACAAATACCTTCAGCATGACCAGCTGTATATCTTCGTGCTGTATTTCACTGAGGTTACTGATCTGAGTAAAAGCAGAACAATCATTAGTTGTACAAGGTATGCTGCATCATTAATTAAAGAGGAAATTTTCAAAGTGAGAATGTTAGGTGTGTATAAATACACAAGGCAAAGATCCACCCTATAGCCTACACAGGCTGCTGGGGAAAGTGATTTAATTACAATCTATTAAACTGGAACAGCACACAAGTCGGTGGATGTGGCTAGCCCCACGTCTAACCGCCTTTGTCTCCCCAATGCTGATGTGTTTTTTTTACAGCACACCAAATACTATACAGCACACAGACGCACGTACAATACACACAAGCTTACAAACCTGGACTGAAATTGCAGGAATCCCTGTAGCATCAGCCTTTGCTGTACCCATTCCATTCACCCCTCCACTTCACCCAGCTATTTTTTTCCAGTACTTAGATCATTTTCTATCGTAATACACCAAATGTTTGCATAATTTTATTTGCACTGTGATTTCACAAAGCTCTTCGCGGATTTTCAATTGTATCTGTCATCTCACGACTTGAAACACATCCGATTTTACCAACATCGATTTGTAAATGCCCAATCCGAAGTTACGCACCCATCTCTACTGCCACAATGTAACTTTGTACACTTTCCATAACCACAGCATTACAAGGAGTTGGCCTGGAATACAACAGTCCCACCCAGAGTTTGTAATCATTGGCACCTCAACGCCACAAACCAATGATTGATGGCTTTTAGAATTCATTGTTGACTGATCTGAGACAATTAAAGTCGATGCACCTTGAGATACAATTTACCCCCACCCCGTGGCCACCTGGGACATCAATGCAAGGCCTCAAAGAAGCTGCCACAAGGATCAGTCCTCGAGGCAGCCAAACCTCTTATCATCATCATCTATAGGCATTGTTTTAAATGCTAACAGAAATAAAAACCTGTTTCTTGAGTGCGTCCACATCTCCCACTTGAACAGCGAGTGCCTCTTGGATCGGCTCAAGCTGGAGGATGGAGGGTCTCCACCTCCTGACCAGCAGCATGAGGTTGAGAACGCTGTCCTTCCGTTTGGCAGGCCCTGCACACCAGGCAGAGCAGAGTTCAAGAAAAAGTGTGTAAATGCTATATAACTAACACTCAGTGCTGGAGAGCAAAGACAAACAACATTGTCTGGCCTTGGGTGTGAACATTCTCGGAGGTGCTTTTCTTTCCTGAAAGACGTTAAGTATGGTCTGTCCGCACCTCAAAATATCACCGTTGGCTACGTACGGTGAGAAAGAAGTTAAACATGCATGCATACTCTATGCGGTCCTCTCTGTCGTGGTTTAAGTGGTGAGGTACATTTCTGAATTTGGATCGTACGATATAGTCCTCATTCCCCAGCATTGGCTCAAGCAAGATTCACTCTCCTGATGAGGCACTAAATGTAAAAAACCAGTCCAGAGGTTGCTTGTTATTGAACCAATGCTGCTGATAAGATGCACTCCAACTAATGAATTGTGTTAAAAAATACTTTTGTGTGTTTTTATATGGATAGGTAACTATGGGAAGGTTTATTTTTATTTTCCACAATGCTTTGTTATGTAACATAGTAACGAGCACTATATCCACGTGAATCTCGTGAATTAACTGTCCAGTTTTTTGTCAATACTGTTTGCCACAACTATTGTGGGAAATCAATAAGCCCTGTGCCAGATCACACAATCAGCTAATTCCAGTCTTATGACAGTTCAAGTTTCATGTTTATTTTGTTAAACCGGGTGATAACTGAAGTGACCGCATGGACAAAAGTGACCTGTAATGACAGGGATGTAAGATGTAACACTATAGAGAATTGGATAAACGAACGAAGTGCTCATTAAAAGGGGGAAATAAACAAATCCCTCCATCGGTATGTTCAAGTTGGTTTCGTCCAAATCCATCTGGAACACATTTTGGACGACCACAGTGAGTGCGTTCGAAAGTGTGATTCAGGAAATTGGCCAGTTTCCACAGGAAATACTGTACAGTTACTGTGCCAGTTCTCAAATATACTTAAGTAATATCTTGTGTTGAATATCACATTCTATGTTACTTTTTGCGTCATTAATATATTTGTAATTGATGTTAAGCAAATTGTGGAATATATTAATGCATGTCCGTCAGCTCATAAGCAAGTGCTGGAGATAACCATTGGCAAAACATACAGTTAATTATAATAATATATGACTTATATAACATACATATTGAGACTGTTAATAAATTCAGGCATGTAAACATATACTCTATGCCAACACACGCATTTGAAAAGTGTATTGTGGGATACAATAGGTCCTATTTCTACACCACGTGCAAGTCTTTGCATTTACAAGTGCACAATCTAAATGCCCTGTTAGTAAAGACTTTTACCGGTCCAAAGCTCCAGGAAGAACTCACGATCCTCCATCAAAATTATATTTTTCCCAAAGACGTCACTTTCCAGGAATATGGTTCCCGGCTTCAGTCCCATTTTGCTCCTCAGCCAAAACCTGAGTTTGTCATGGCCATAAACAAAAATACAAGCCAATGATATTGGAGTTCAAAACACTTGAGTTCAGCATCAAATACATTCACCCAAACAACTGCTCTGCACTTTATCCTCTCCTCTTTGCATTTATTTTGATCATCAATAACAGTTCGAGCATTGTCCAAGCATTATTTTAGTACCGTATTGTAGATGCAGAGGTTATGAGTATATATTGGAGCATACTGTATACGGCTTATAATCCATTCATTGATGCTCACACGTAAATACAAACATTATTTGAAGACACACGTAGAGAAATACAAAGTCGGTCAATTAAAATAGCAGACAGTCTGGGAATAAGCTCCAGACACTCCGAACAACCCTGCTGTAACTCAAGATAACATCTTGGTAGCATCAAGGGCTGGTTAATGGCTGTCTGAGCAGTCTGGTAAACAGGAAGGAACAGCAAGGAGAAAATACTCCATTTAAATGTCCTATTCCAAAGGGCATGAACCATTTTGGTTAAACATCCTTCTCATACTCTTTGGTTCTTTCGGTAAAGTCACGTAGAAAGAAATTAAATTAAATAATAGAAGACGACGTTTCGATTGCAACACAAGCAATCGTCATCAGGTAGAACTAAATTTGAGAGAGAGAGACGAAACACAGACACGGAGACACACAGCACAGACACACAAGCAGAGAGAGACAACACAGAGACACAACATAGACACACAGTGTGTCTATGTTTACGACGAATGTACACTAGATACTACATAATTTTCTATGGGGACCTGGTTACAGAAAACTGTGTCTCTTTCTGTATTGTAACAGCTCTCTCGTTGGTTCAGCAGTTCCCACCGCTGGATTATTTTTTTCCGCCTGAAGACGACCGCTTGTGTTGCGATCGAAACGTCGTGATATAGAATTTTTTGTTTTATTTTTATATTTTTCTATCTACGTGACTTTACCGAAAGAACCAAAGAGTAACCACAGAGTAATTCCTGCAGTCACGAAAGCTTCAAATCGAATCCTTCTCATATATCAGCCACTCTTTTGCAATAACTAACTTTGCATCCAAATTACACCTTTAAATAAGTCAATCAAAAGATGATCTTGATTATAAATCATTATGTATTCTAAATGCAACTGCTTATACATTTTCTACATATTGTATACTGAACTTTGAGCATGTTTACGAATTTAATGTGATGTAATACTAGATTATAATTATCACGTATTTCGAATTCAATTTGCGATTCAACATTTGTTTATAGGGCTTTTTGTTGTTCATATTTGTCTTATTGATGTTTTGTTTCACCTGCATAATTTTGAAAACAAACGTATGATTAAACCCAGAACACCCTCACTGTAAGACCTTGTATCATGTTGTCTTAATTGATTATTTTCCATCTCCTGATGAAATAAAAGTTTACGACTAATGTACACTAGATACTACATAGAGGGTTAAACGTCTGAGAGGTTTCTAAAACAGGCATTATTAATTTAGAAAGGTGAATGTGGATGTTTTTTTGCATACAATGGAGACGTTTCAGTGCTGGAAGGAAATCTCAGAAGTCTGAAAGCATCTTGGCACAGGTAAAACTCATTAGGCAACACATGCTAATTTTCTATGGGGACATGGTTACAGAAACCTGGTTACAGCAAAGATAAATAAACGCACAAAACTATCCAAAAACAATTGTACATGATCAAGTTGCAAATAGCAAAGTCGCGCATCAACATGGTACAACAAGCACAAAAAAATACAAGCCTAATAGAACATATTCCGTACAGAAACAATAATATTCATAAAAGGGAAATAATAAAAATAATAACATAATAAAATAAAATGATCACGACGTTTCGGCCACAACGCAAGCAGCCGTCCTCAGGTGAAGAACAGAGCTGTCGGAAAGACAGCGTCCTAGGACCTGAGGACGGCTGCTTGCGTTGTGGCGGAAACGTCGTGAGAATTTTATTTTATTGTTTTATTCCCTTCTACGTGACTTTTCCGAAAGAACCAAAAATATTAATCCCTCAGTCACGAAAGCTTTAAATGGAAAAATATTCATAAAGTGAAGTTTGCAAAGCAGAGCAATCAATTGCACGCACACTTGAAAGAAAGCCTGCAATCCAAGAGTGATTCAAAGTAGGACGAGTACGGCAATGTTTTTAAACCAAACATTTTCACTCGGTTATTCCAGAGATCAGGGGCCACCGCACCACAAGCAATGTGAGAGACGTAGGTGAGCGCAGTGTGTGGGAATGCAGCTGTGGCCATGATGGGAGTTTTATAAACATCAAAAAGTTGTACAATATTGTTTTTGTTCATAAAATACTGTACAGTTAGAGATGCTTCCTTGCTGTAAGCAACGTTTTACAGGATCTGCTGAGGTTTGACTTTCCACAAAAAAAATGTTTACCTCTTAAAATGTTTCAATAAGTCCATATCTATACAATTGCCAGTCATAAATGTGTATTTTCTAACAATATACAGCCAGACAATTTAATAAATAAACACACACAGCAGTATGTATGAGATTACAGGCTATACCAAAAGGAATGAAAAACACGTTTTTTTTTTTAAAACGACTTCAGGTCACACTGGGATTTACGTGCAAAAGTTAAGTGAGCTCAGAAGGCATCTGCCCATTAAAACACGCGAATGGGGGCTGTTAGGCACACCCCAGGGGTACGGTTCAAATGTGATTTACGGGTGGCACGTAAAACTGGCGTCGTGTTGCCAACCTTTCTGTGGTGAGCTGTGGATCGAGGCTTTGCCTGAGGCCTGGCAAGAGTTTCTGCTTGCACATCTGCACCGTGCTGCCACTCGTGAATGTGCACTCGCACAGGAACCGACAGGGCTGTGCGCAGGTAGGGGCAAAGCGACAGTGAGAGAGCGGAGTGTCATTGAAAATAACACCACGGCAGCCGACAGTTCCACCGCTGCAACCCTTAGAACTCTTGAAAGAGGCTAATGTTAGCTTTTTTTTTATTTAGCCTCGCACAATTTCACGACGCATTTTCCCACGAGGTAATATATTTTCCCTTGAAGAGGCATTCGGGTAAAAAAAATTGCACCTTTCCTAGCCATTTGCCGCTTGTAAGTTATACATTGCAGCTACTTCATTGCAAGAAAAAGTATATTGCGGTGCAAATCGAAATAGACTATCAAAGTTGCGAAGACCGAATACAAACATGTTTTTTTAAGAAAACGATGTGAAAATGACGAGAGGTTTTCCCCTTTTTTTCTGGCAACAAAACAGGTGTTAAGATGTTAAAACACCAAACTGAAACCTTTTACAAGGAATCATGTCTGCATTAACCACAATACTTGTGGTCAGAATGCAAAAAATCATACTCTGATAATATATGTGGCATTGTCTTTGAAACTGACTGAACCACACCAGAGACAGCTTTTTTTGGAGCCTCGTCTCAAACGGTGTTAGACCAGAGGACGCCAAAAGGCGAACAGCACAAAGACAATGCCACTATCAGAGTAACGAGAGCTCGGGGTGAGCAGCTACATCATGTGACCTCCTTTGCCAGTACCAAAATATGAGAATAGGTTTTCCCCTTTTTCTAGCAACAAAACAGGTGTTAAGATGTCTTTGTGCAGTATGCCTTTTGGCGTCCTCTGGTCTAACACCATTATTGTGGTTAATGCAGACATGATTCCTTGCAACATTCCAAACACCCCTCATACCTCTGACAACCACATCTCGCTTTGAGAATTATGGTAAAAAAAATGTGGAAAAGTATGCACCATAAATAAGCGTTTAGTATTTTCTTACATTATTTGGTGGACTTAGTGAAAACCCATTACCATACAACAATATTCTTTCCAACGCTCTCAAAGCACTGTAAAGTATTTAGAAGGTGAGTTGAAAATATGATGCATGTTCTTACCTCCTCACTTGTCAATGAAAACTGGTAAAGTTTGACTTTACACAAATTATCTTGGCTTTTGTCAAACATTTCATCCGCCTGAATATAAACACAAGAGCATGAATAAGATAACAGTATTGTAATACTGTATTCCTGAATGTAAAATATAATGCAATGCCAATAACAGTGTTATTATTGTAAACATCATTTTGGAATGCTGTAATGGATTACAATATTAATTATTTCGCATGGTAAGGCATTCTTACCTTTATATTATCTGATGTGTTGATCGTGCTTACAGATGCTGACACTCCCTCGTGACTCATGATATATATTCTGTAAAAAGAAAACTAATATTGTATAATGTATTAGACAACGTTAGTTCTGAAACAAACACTTCTAGAAATGACAGTTTAATTGTGGGTAAAACTGTCCATGATTATGACACTGAAAATCCACGTTGTATTTGTATAACTGTTCCAGGCCAAAAAAGAGTTGACATTATTGCGAAATAGCTTTGATATCTGTACAGCACTATGTGTATGGCGTCTACCTTGTTGAGAAGAAGCATACAGGGCATGATGAACCTTGAGATAGAGTGTCGTAGTGCCTAAAGTTGAGAACCTCTGGGTCAGTGCTAATGGACAACTCAAGCCATGACCGACTCTCTGTGAGCCCCCACTGCTACTAAATATACCCCGCGTAAGATTAGTTTGCAATGCCGCCGGAAGGGCCGCAGTCAGAATGGTTGCAGAGCACTGCGCGGTACATTAATTCAGTTGTTTATTTTAAACAAAAACACAGAAATCTCACGCGCACGTGGCTGTGATGAGTGGCCACACAGGGCAGGGTTGGCCAATGTGTCAGATCACGGCTCCATTGGGGACGCGCGCACCAGGCCAAGCGTGGAGTAACACGGGATACCCGCACGTCCGAACTGTCACATGCTAATGATTACTCATTACTGGCACAAAAATAGCTTTGCTCGCAGTACAACGGGCAATCACCGCTCTCACAGGAAACACACCGCTCAGCACAGACCTTTAAAACGCCCGTGTGTGGTTGTCGCCTCCCACTACCCCAGCAAAACAGCCGTGGGTAACGAAGATTAATCAAGAGTGTTATTGTGTACAATTCCTGGTGCGTTTTACTTTTAATGGCACTCGTTAGGCATTTTGCAGGCGTTGCATCCACCAGTTATAATAAGGGAATTTGAATAAAACCGCTGCAATTGTAGAATGTAATCAGCATCGTGTGCTTTTACATTTGTATCTTGCATGGCATAAAGCGTAACTTGAATCTGGTATAGAGTAATTCAACAAAAGTTTTGCCACTTTACCTCCAAAAGATACATTTTCAAAGCGTAGCATTCATGACCACAAACAATATTAACGTGCACTAAACAGCATGCATACAGGAGTAGAGTGTATTAAATGCAGACTGCTTACCTCTGCTTATCCAAAACTGATCTCTCTCTCAGTACTTCTGTTGTCGACTACGAAGAAGCCAAAATAATCCCTTCCAGATGTCAAGGAGGAATATATATACACACGCGCACGAACAAAATCTCCCTCCTCCCCCCCCTCCCCAAGAAAAAAAAATAGAAGAGAGATGGAGTTGGTGGAGAGGAGACACCGAGAAACGTGGCTCAATATTAACAACACAACTAACAGACCCCAAAGGAAGCTTTACCAACCCAGTAACGCTATCACAACAAATTCCCTCCGTACAAATTACACGCTTCCATCACTCGTGCGTGCAAGGCTTGCAGTGAACAAATAGCACACGGAAGAACGGGCGGGCGTACAAACCCCCCCCCACCCAACACACAACGCTTACCGTGTGATGCGTTTCGTGAAACCCAAGCTCAAGTGGGTGGATGTTGAGTGGGAAGGGGAAGGGGGTGTGTGTGTGTAGAGTCATCATTCATCGCTGCAGCCACAATAGTAAGCTAGCTATAGCTGGCGAGGCACCTTGTTAGTCCAGCCGGTTGTAAGCCTCTGGCAGGTGCGCAAATAATTATCTGTTGAAGTCCAATTGTGGCAGTGGGTAGTACACGGGCACATTTACGTGGAAAATTTAATTGCATTATAATTAGCGTTGAATAGGAGACCTCGTGATGTGAATTCAAGGTCTTCTTACCCAAAGTCCTCTTGTTATTAAAGCAAGCCTGTTATAATACTTTACACATTTTGTGCATCTGTTGGTTGTTAAAATATTCATGTGGATTTGTCGAGAGGCACGGAGAGTGGAATTACCACCTGCACCTTAGCTGTCACTGACTCAGAGACAAAGATCACACGTTATAGGGCCTTGACGGACTCTTGGGGCAAGTGCTGTTAGCGAGCACCTATGGGATGGTGGTGGGTGGCCAGCACCACGCCCGGGGTCGCCTTTGTCTCCCCAGTGGCGATGTTCACAGATCGCACCAGGTACTCATTTGGGACTAAACGTTGGCACTAACGCTCCCCACTGACTCGGAATGCCCTACACCATATGCAACACCAGGGGGCACCATGTCACCGAGAGAACACATCATTCGTGTATCACACGCACCATCCTGGTTGGGTTGAGCATTTCAGACCTTACGCAACCAACACATGGCTGCACGCGTTTGAAACCCAAGCTTCAGCTTTATGGACTGCTGACTACGTACATACATACATGCCTGCCATTCTTGTCTTGTTTCATGATCGAGCGCAGTTGAATCTTAAATCCTTTCGTTTTAGAACCACTGCGTCCCCCACCCACCTTGATCAATACAACTATGGCACTATAACAGAGCGAGATATCACTTTTTCCACGCCACTGGCGTTGTGTATTAGTGTGTTTTGTCGCCCCAACGTGGCGCTTAAGTTCTACATTTCTGGCCCTGCCCTGCAATGGCTTTTGCAATCCCACTGTTGAGAACCACTTCATGGACTCGTGCAAAAAAAATGGGTAAACTTATGACCCTGAGATACCAAATCAGAGGAGACCCCCCCCCGTCCCCTTACATAATTTAACAAGGGGAGTAAAAAGCATAATAGAAGTGTACGTACAACAATACAGTAAATTATACCAGGAATAAACAGTCGTGATAACATTCTTAAACATTTTGTTTACATCGTCGTTAAATCATATCTCTCACAAACCTTTCAATACTATTTTTGTTGCAATACATGCCTTATCTAAAGGATACATGTGAACGGTAACAATATTCTAAACAAACAGAGCGTATACTCAAGGAAGTTTTGCAAACTTCATACAGTGCTATTTGGCTTGCAAATTCCACGCGTTAATTAATGATCCTAATATTAAGCACACGGAAAGTGGAATGGATACACATTTTCCAAGGAGCTTATGCAACGTGACCTGGTTTTAAGCCAGAGCAGGCTGTCACTTAGAACAAAAAAAATAAACACGGTACTGGACTTAGTTGTTACCCTTTTTGTTGTATCCAAACCAGCAAAAGTATGACCTTATCCCAGTACAGGACTTGCAGTATCATCTTTGTTATTATTAATACGTTTTCTCATGGCACTTTTGTTTATATTTCCTTTTTACACATGCCAATACTGCAACTTTCTAGTCAAGTGGCCAAATATCTCAGGCAGTATTCTCACCAAAGGAGGTTTGGATAACAATAGGATTTCCGGAGTCAATTGTAATAATTGTTACCGTTCACATGTATCCTTTAGATAAGGCATGTATTGCAAGAAAAATAGTATTGAAAGGTTTGTGAGAGATATGATTTAACGACGATGCTGTACTTCTCAAAATAAAACTGATCTCGCACTCTCAGCACGGGAAATCAGAGCGGCCTGGGTAATTTGACTGCATGTAAACAAAATGTTTAAGAATGTTATCACGACTGTTTATGCCTGGTATAATTTACTGTATTGTTGTACGTACACTTATATTATGCTTTTTACTCCCCTTGTTAAATTATGTAAGGGGACGGAGGGGGGGTGTCTCCTCTGATTTGGTATCTCAGGGTCAGAGATAAATCCGGCCTCCCTGGATGTATATATAACCTTTCGTGTTAATTCTTGTGCTCGCAAAGCCCATACTCCAGTGTTCAACTATGTGTTGGGTGGGACACGTGTTTGCTCTGTACCCGGCACCAAGGGCATTGCAGACACTGCTGGTGTCGTGGGTGTCTAGGCTTCCACAACATGTTTAGGTATGGATAAGAGCCATATCGGTGATTGCACCTCGGACATGTGCGTACATGTTATGAAAGTGTGACTTTATTGGCTATGTTGATCAAAAAAGCCTTGTTAAAGAAACGCATACACGTCATACATGTTGAGTTGACCCTTTATAGTGGGTTGACTTCCATTGCCATGGGGATTTGCTGAAGCACAAAGATGCAGTGTCCTTTCGTTTTTCTACAGTGTTTAAAATCAGTTAAACAACACTCCCTGCATGGATTAGATTTTGGTTTAAGCTGTAGGTGCCGGTGTTTAGTTTAGAGGTATGGTACTTATTTTGTCTTTCCAAAAAATATCTCCCGCCCTCAAAAACACAGTGATTAATAGTTTTAAAAACAGTATTCCTATGACTATTCAGTATATAAAGTATACCGCACCAACATTACCCATTTTCAACAAAGACCACACACCAATATAGTAAACTCGTATACATTTATCTTTATTAAGTAAAGAGTGGTTGTGAAAGCATGTCTAAGTGCTAAACAATGTAAACTGCAGAGTCGACCATTTGTGCATTATGCTGGAATACTGTATTGCATACGTTTTTTGTTTACACTTTATGAAATTGGATACAAGGGGCCTTAAAATATTTGGCGATAACAGAGCGTGCAGGATTACTGCATATTTGTAGGTGGCGATGTGGTGCAGTAACGTACTTGAAAGTCCTTAGAGTTGTGATACTGTTTCTGAATATACGTATTAATCTACATATTACCTTTTTCTCACACATAACCTTTTTGGTCTTCTCCATTAAATCAACCACCTTGTTGCCCAGGAAATACATACCACGGTACTGTGATAACTATATTACTGTCCTGTACTATAATGTTTGCCCTGATTCTCCAAGGTAGAGTCCTGGATTAGGATGTTTGGTCAGTTCCATTTGAGTTTTTGGCATGTGAAAAGACACCTGAGTACCATCCCAACAGTTTTAGAGCATGCATAGCTTGAATAATAATACATTGTGATGTCAGATTGTGTAAAATGTGTGTCGTTAAACCTCCTCCAACCGACACAGCCAATTGATAAAATTGTCACGTGATTCTGCCAATTTTATTAATGCACGTGTGCCAGCACGTCAGGCTGTCTCGCGTCGTGAGTCAATGCTGACGAGCGAGTATGTAAACGCGACCGGGTACGGTATGTACATTATCTCGTGGTCTGTAGAACGCTTTCCGTGGTCAGGCTGCGTCGCGTTGAGGATCATGTCTTTAGAACTGCTTCTTGTGTTTAGTTTGTTGACCTTGCCCCCGCACCTCCGATTAACACGGTTGGCTACGTACGGTGCGAAAGCAGTTCAACATACATTCATTCATACGTTGGAGAGCAATTTCACAGCATTTAACAATTGGGTACGACGTTTTGCTGATAGTTACAACCAGCATCATCAGGCAGAATCCAGAATTGTTTGAATGTACTGCAATATTGGGCCTCAATTAGATATTGTGATGCCATCAATGTGTGCCCATAAAAGCAGGAAGGAATACTCAGATCGTAATGTTGTCGCATAAATTATGCTATTTTAGCTCACAATACATTGCATTAGATACGGTCATATAATGTTTGACTTAAAACTTTCGTGACTGCAGGAATTCATATTTTCTATCTATGTGACTTTACGGAAAGAACCAAAGAATATATATTTTTCTATCTACGTGACTTTACAGAAATAACCAAAGAATACGGTAATATAAATTGAGGGTGGTTCAAAGGTCAATATGCTGAATTGGCACCGCTCTGAAAAGATGAATTAACCGTGCAACTCCTCGTTTTTGTGAGTAAAGAAACATGTGAATAGCAGGCCGTTCTGCAGATCTTGTAATCGGAAGCCATTTAGGATGGGGAAAAACAGGATAATCGCATCTTCTGGGTTCTTTCGGTAAAGTCACGTAGAATAGAGATAAAATAATAAAAAACATAACAGACATATAATAAAATTCTCACGACGTTTCGGCCACAACACAAGTAGCCCTCCTCAGGTGAAGAAACAGGACTGTCCGAAAGACAGCGCTTTAGTGAACCCTGCCAAGCTTGGCAGCATCCCCTAAGCTGTGTGGGAGGAACAGAGCGCCTTGACAACAAACTCCGGGATAAAAAAGCTCAGCTAATCTCTCACCTTTCTAAAGAGATGCCGCGACTCTAAGGTAATACCAACCGCATTAAACTCCTTTGTCAAGGCGCTCTGTTCCTCCCACACAGCTTAGGGGACACTTCCAAGCTTGGCAGGGTTCACTCAAGCGCTGTCTTCCGGACAGTGCTGTTTCTTCACCTGAGGAGGGCTACTTGTGTTGTGGCCGAAACGTCGTGAGAATTTTATTATGTCTGTTATTATTTTTATTATTTTATCTCCATTCTAACGTGACTTTACCGAAAGAACCCAGAAGATTAATCCCTGCAGTCATGAAAACTTTAAATCGAAAGGATAATCGCAAATAAGAATAGGACAACAGAATATAAGAGTCACGATTTATGAGAGGTTTTAAGTTACGTTTTTTTACTATACTTATGAAATACTAAATGCACACAATAGTGTATGTATGCCGTGAAGAAAAAGGACATGTCCTCAAAGCAAATGTTGTAAAAATCTAACGTGAGTTTTAATCCTGATCAAGGGTCAACCCATCCCAATCACTCATTCCAACAAAGTCAACAAAAAATTGGGGGTGTCTATTGATGTGAACAGGGAAACTTTTTGATTTCAAATCACAGGACATTATAGAATGTGCCATAATTAACTTCCTTTTCAATTTCGTATGGAAAGTCCATAACGTACGAGTACATAGTCGGTGTGGCATGTAAACATTATCGCTTTAAACAAGACAATTTACCTGGAATGCTTTTCAAAATGCACAATTTCCATTGAAATCGGTAGACATCATGTGTAAACATAGCAATGTTGGGACGGGTACATAATTATGGCAGTCACTGCATTGACCTCTAGCCCACATTCCTATGTATATGTGGGCTAAAGGTTAAAGGTATGTACACATGCCTTACCCTATCTCTGGATTTCCATACAGACTTCACACGTAACTATGTAATGCTGGAAAGTGCTGCACGTATATTATTACATCTAACAACTTTCTTTGTATTTTGTTGTATTTCTGCTCTTGATTTTTTTCTGTTTATATTTGCGAATTGTTCTGTAGCACATTGAATTGTTGTACATCTTTCTTTTGTCAATCCACTGCTGTGGATGAGGGCCTCCTCACGCCCCGTGGGTTGTGGGGGCTTAAACGACCAACACTGCATGGAATTTCAACCCAAGAAAACGCAACCAGGACGACATTCTATGAGCGGACATGTAAAGCCATGAGAGAGCAGTTTAATGTGCAGGAGTGAGATGGATGGTAGCAGCACTGAATTATGAGGGATAAACAGCGTAGGCAGCACTTGCAATTCAGCAGTGGATAGGCAACGCCTGATGACAATGACTTCACCATGCTGAATACCAACATAGTGAAGGCGGGGAGTATAGACGTGGGAGCATATACACTACAGTACAACATAGGATTTTTCTGTACTGCCTTCTGCCTACAAAAATACATCTACATGTCTACAGACAGTGCACTGTATAGACAATAACGACTCATAATGCATCTTAAATACCCTCTGCAACATATAATCTTACGTGTAGAGTATGTACTAATGCATAGGAAGCTTAAGCTAGATTCCTCATACATATGATGCTAAATCCCCAAACATTTATACAATGGGGATTAGATGTTAAGAATTGTGTTGGGGGTTTAACCATAAAATGCATTGATGTCTCCCAAAACATATACGGTACGTACGTACCTAAGTAATAAATATATCATCGATCACCTTTCCCCCTTCTTCTAGAAGCAGCAGCAAGCACACAGGCCCCGCATTCTTGCACACCCATGTGAGACGACCATCAACCCCACCCCCATTGCCGACGGCGAGCAGCCATTGACCTATCCTCTCCTTCCCTTAGAACCACAACCCCACCATCATCACCACCACCACAAAAGCAGGGGGGAGTGGAGCTACCCCACCCGCTTCTTCCCCAATAGCCACAACCCCACCACGACCATCACACAAGCAGGGGAGTGGAGCTCCTCCTTCCCAATAGCCACAATCCCAGCACCAACACCACCACACAAGCAGGGGAGTGGAGCTACCCCACCCCCCTCCTTCCCCAATAGCCACAACCCCACCACCTCCTTCCCCAATAGCCACAACCCCACCACCTCCTTCCCCAAGAGTCACAGCCCCACCACTATGATTACACAAGCAGGGAGGGAGGGGGGTAGTGGAGCCAGCTACTTAGGGGCGTGACTCACGCCGCACATGGTAAAGCAGAGTCCCCCAGCCAGCAAGCAGTAAGCAGGGGCCAGAGGGAGGACCTCTCTGGGTTGTGTTGGGCAGGTGACATTGCCCGGCTTACTGCTCTCTGTTATTGAGCTGTGCACATGCAAAGAGACGAAGTTGTCTACTTTGTTGTGCTACAACTCAAGTGCCAGTGAAGCTCTAGTTTAAGACTTTTTTTTGAGTGACATTTGCCCGTGTGTGTTTGGGCTTCTTCTCTTGAATCGTATCGAACTACATCGTGCGTAAGTGCTGGTAAGTGTTTCAATAAACTGTATATGTTTCTCCAATATTTACTTGGGTCATACGTGCTGTAAAATTTATACTGTTACTGGCAAGAGGAAGATTTTCAACACATTTTTGGACGAATTGGGTTGGAAAGGTACTGTTGAGTTTATGTTTGATGTCAACAGCACTGTAATTGAGAATATAGACAATGGGTCAATGATGTACTTTGCGTTGGTTACTTAACTACGTGTCTTAACAGATTTGAATGGACTACTTTGTTGGTATTTCAAAGCCTATCGATAATGAGCAGCGCCGGCTCAAACCGGCGGGTTGCCATGTTTAGCCATTAAATGTTTTACTTAAAACTTTCGTGACTGCAGGAATTAATTTTCTGGTAAAAAAGTCACGTAGATAGAAAATACAATTTAAAATAATATTTTCTATCTACGTGTCTTTACCGAAAGATTCAACAATGCGTTTCGTCTTTAACGCATACAGCTGCTTAATTATAGACTTCAACACGAGACATGCCGCGTTCGTAAATATCTCCAAACGAGAGTAAGGGGGGGGGGGGGGAGGACACGTGGACGACTCCAGGGAGAGAGAAAGTGCTAGAAGAGTCAACCCTTACCGAGCTGTTTACAAGCAATGGAACAGCTGGACACAGTACTGTAATTAATTGGGGGGGCTTGCATCTCCTTGTGCATCGGAGGCCCCAATGGTTGGAAGCCTTTCATTCATTGTAGACACGCCGGCGGACAATCAACGTGTGTGTTGTTTATAAACCGCCTATTCCATTACAAGAGCTTAACGTGGCAACAACAAACACGACGTTTGCGTTGTGTTTGTGGTGGGGAGCGGTGGCGTAGTGGTTAGCGCAGCGACCCAGGTTCGATTCCCGCTCACGGCCAACACCACCAGTGACGATTATCTGAACCGGTGCCCGGGGCCTCCGCTAGGTCGTCTCAGCCTCAAATGAGTACCCGGTGCGATGTGTGGTAAACATCGCGCACTGGGGGAGAGACAAAGGCGGCCGGGCGTGGTGCTGACCACCCACCCCACCTCGTGTAACCGTGCCTGCCTTCATAGGTAGGGTGCTCGCAAACAGCACTTGCCCCTACAGTCTGTTACAGGCTACGCGGGGGTGGATCTTTGTCTTTGTGCCAGTTTTGTTCGGCTAAAACATCACAGCCATTCCCATTGTTCACGCCGGGGCTGCAAAGTAGCCCAGATAAGTCCTCCTGCTCCTCCCTTCCCACAAGGCACACGAGAGAGCCTCGCCACAATTGTCGTGGACCCATTCCACATTCCTCGCCACAATTGTCGTGGACCCATTCCACATTCCGGCTGTTGTCGGCGAGTTGACGTCTCGACGGCGGCGTGTTCAGTGGCACGGTGGTTTTCATTCATTCATTAATCGTGTTCACTCTTTGTGGCTTAAATTTTGATTTAAAGCTTTCGTGATTGCAGGGATTCATATTCTTGGTTCTTTCGGTAAAGTCACGTGGAAGGGAAACAATAAAATAATATTAAAATATAAAACAATACAATTATCACGACGTTTCGACTGCAACACGAGCAATCATCGTCAGGTGTGAAAACCACAGCAAGAAAATTAGAAAAAAGTGGCGGGTTACTTTTAACGTCAGCACCACGGAGAGCGATTTGGCAGTTTATTTAGATGGACGAGTCCATCTATGTTCGGAAAAGAGGAGGGGGGGAGACGAAGTTATGGCTTATCTCTCTATCTTATATATGTATATAGATGTGTTTGTGTGTGTTTGTGTAAGGACAACGGTAGTAGTACGTTTGTGTTGTCCTGCGAATCCTACTGTATGGGTCCACACACCACGTGGTGGTGGTTGTCTTTCCATACCAAAGGTGCATTGGGGAATGTGTATGTCATGTTCCTGGTGAAAAATAGGTCGTATCTTTAATTTAGAAAACAGTGGCATGAAGCTTGCTGCAAGTAACGCTTTTGTGTACTGCGTTGCAGTAATGTGTACGGCTGTGTATCGTAATTGAGTCGTGATTCTTTCAACAAAAAGTGCAAGCGCGTGCTAACGAAAGCCCGGTTATGTCACCACAGTACTGCTTATTGATGGGTGAAGCATATCGATGGGTGAAGCATGCTGCTTTGAACCAAGTTCGATTCCCTGTCACGGCAAACATCGGTGGCGAGTAAATCTGAAACGGCCCTGGGTCTCCCATCCGCACTGACCAGCGTGGTGAAGTATGGTCACAGAACCCCCCCCCCCCCCCCCCCACTGTCAGGCTGACCTTGGGGAGGAGCCCTTCATCCAGCAGTGGATGGAACAAGGGTGGCGGGGAGGCATACATAGATTGTACACATTGCATGTGTGTTATTAACACGGTCTATGTTCTAGAACAATCTTGTGTATATGTACAGGGTGCTCTAGATGTCTTGTGACCGCCCCCCCCTCCCCCATTTAATTATCTAAAACTTAATATATATTTTAAGTAAGGTTTATTTAAAACAAATGAATGATTCAAAGGGAAAACATGTTAGGGTCCATTCATGGGGGGGGGGGGGGGGGCACAAGACATGTGGACCGACCCTGTACAGTGCCACAGTAGCTAGGTGCTGCGATAATCCGTTTCTTAGGTTTATATAATTAGCATTAATACAATATTGTATCAACACTACAGTGTTGTAATGGCATGTGCATACATTGTACACTTACAATGTATCGCATACACAGCACAGTAGGTTATCCTCTTTGATGAGCCAAAGATCACATGATATCGCTGCTATAAATGGTCTGTTAATGCATTGTCTTTGTACTATAATAATAGGTTTGACCCTTTTTGGCAATAAAACGGGTTGATAAGATGTTCAAGCACCAAATATAAACCTTTGACAAGTCTGCGTTAACCATACGTCCCTGTGATGAACATGCAAGCAAAAAAAAACACCACATTGCTCTGGCAAAATATATATGGCATTAATTCTAGATTTGAAGCTTTCGTGACTGCAAGGATTCATACTCTTTGGTTTGATTCGACTTTACCGAATAAAACCAAAGAGTATATATGGCATTGTCTTTGAAAGCGGATTGGTCATCATCACCAGAGACGGCCTGCTTCTTCAGGGCCTATAATAGTCTCACTACCAGTGTTGGACCAGAGAAGTGGCAAGAAAGATCCTCATGTTGTCTTTGTGCTTGTTCGTCTTTAGTCTTTTGTCTGGTCTGGCACTGGCGAGACTGGGCCCTATAAAAGAAAGCCGTCCTCTGATGCAGGCCAATCTGCTTGAAAGACATTGCATATATAATTTTCAGAGCATGTTTTTTTTTAATTTGCATGTTCATCACGAGAAGCCGTGCGTGGTTAATGCAGACGTGTGTCCTTGCACAAGGTTTTCTATTTTTTTTGCGTTTGAACATCTTTAACACCTGCTTTATTGCCAGAGCAGGGTAAAAACCTATTAATATTAATTTTTTTAGACTTTGATACTGGCAAAAAAAGGTCCCATGTTGAGCCTAAAGGGACTTGGGCACCACACCGACCAGGGCCCCAGTGTTGGATTCTAGGATTTAATGTGGATTTTTTTAAAATAAAACATTATAACCATATGGTTGAACTTGGCTTTTGTTGAATTGGAGAAATGAAGAACCACATTGGTCCACCGCGCGCCCAAAGACATTTTGTAAAGAGAAAGATCCCTCTCCCCGTGTAACCTGTAACAGACTGTAGGGGGCAAGTGCTGTTAGCGAGCACCTATGAAGGCCGAGGGAGGGGGGTGGGTGGCCAGCACCACGCCCGGCCGCCTTTGTCTCTCCCCAGTGGCGATTTTTGTTGTTGTTTACGCACCGCACCAGACACTAATTTGAGGCCGAGTCGACCTAAGGGGAGGGGAGGCCCAGGACCGGTTCGGCACAACCCCGTGGCTGTGGTTGTTGTTGGTGGGTTCGGAGCGCAACGCGCTAACCACTCCGCCACCGTTCCACATCCTGCAGCGGTGGCGCACAAGACGTGCCACGTGGCCTCGTGTTGTGTATTGCGCTTGTTCACGATACATCTAGAATTCTAGATGCTCAACGATGCGCGTGGCGTATTCAGGTTGTCCGGAATGAAACGTGGTCCAAGTTCGTCGTGGTTTTTTGCCGAACGTTGTAAGGTGGTGTGGCTTTTTTTTTTTAAAGGGCATTTATTAAATTCGACGTGTCGTGAAACGGGCAAGGTTACAGTATATGCCGGTGCTAAGCTACTCTGGCTGTCTTATCGAATATATAGATTAACACTGTACAGTAATTAAAGTCCCATTGTTTTCAAATCCATTGGAATGATTAAAGACGATCCTTGTTGGGCCCAAGTAAAGGAATCAACAACAAAAAACGCCACTTTATAATTTTCTTGCCGTGGTTTTCACACCTGATGATGATTGATTGTGTTGCAGTCGAAACGTCGTGAGATTTGTATTGTTTTATATTTTTATTATTTTATTGTTTCCCTTCTACGTGGTGACTTTACCGAAAGAACCAAGACTATAAAGGAATCCAATTACGTAACTTGCTTGCGATGACGAGATAACCATCATTTCTTCTTTTTTTTTAAACGGGTTTTACGGGTTATTGTCTCCTAGTGAATATTTAGCTGTGCCGTGGTTTAAAGAATTAGGGTATCGTAAAAGTGACACGTGATTTTTTTTAAAGCTTTAACGTTAACTTCTCCAGGAGTTGCATTATTGCTGTTTGTAATCCAAACACTGGGACCTGTTTATCATCCAAATACGGAAAGTGAATAGAAAAAATGAAGTTTCGTAGCAAACATCTGATGTTAACTACTGCTCGGGTAATACAGCACACACCGTGCTTATGTAATGACTGGTACACACTAGGGGAGAGAACCATTGGTGAACCGGGGTCATTGTGTAAAGAAATTAAACATTTCCATGGTGGGTCGTTGCGTTTGTGCTCCTATTTAAACATTGTTTTTAACATTCATATGGCATTATTACAAGCGTGCAGTTCTCCGCAAGGCACGGGAACCTAGATCCCCCGTGTGTCAACAATGAAATTAACCATGCAACAGCTATAAGCGCGCCCAACATACAAACGCAACAAGGGAGTTGTGTTATGGCAGTGCTCTTGACTGTAACAGCCACGGGCACTGAATCGTCAAAGCGTTCATAACGAAATCCTTGTGACACCGCACCAGACAAAATGGAAGTTTTTAAAGTGACACTCCTCTTTCTGAGACCTCAAAGTGGCAGCAAATACCTAATTTGTGTTTATCCGCAGGTAACTTTGCGACTAATGTTTTTTCTCCGAATGATGCGATCCTCCTAGAAGGCCACCCTCGTCATCAGCACGGATGAGAAGGGGATGATGGGTTCCCTGTACAGCCACCATAGACCCGAATATGTCTCATGCGGTATCACTCAGCATTTCAGGACATTTAACACTTGAAATGCATTCTCAGATATTGTAAATGCATTCTGAGATATTGTAATGTATTTGCCGACTGCTGTAGCATCTAAAGAGATTACTTTAATGCTAATAACGTAGGATACTCCAGTTTTAAAACGATGTGTACATTCCAAACTCGGTGCCCTGCCCACCTGGTTCTGATCATTGTCCCCGGCTGGGTCAGCCAGCTTTTCCACATTTACCCCATACCTTACTGCTAAATGCATCTGCACAAACAGCTTGAATGGTGTGCTGCTACTTTGCTCGCCATAACCATGCTCTTCATGCTGACGTGTTCTTTAAACATTGTGGACGAAAATGGCCTAGTTAGTGCCAATTTTGGTAATTTAGGCAATGTAACCATACCCTCCCCCATATACCCTCCCAAGATTCGGGCATTTACAGCACAGGGTACTCCAGATGTCTTGTAACCCCCCACAATTAATTGAAAATGTTTTCCTTTGCGTATTCATTTCTGTTTTCACACCCATTGGTATACAAAAAAATATATATTACGTTTTGGAGAATTAAATGGGGGGGTCACAAGACATCTGGACCACCTTGTACTTGCCTGGGCTGTATGTTGTAGCTGTTATGCTTGAGTGATATCTTTAAACCAACACCTCGTTGACGTACTGTCCATGCGTTCCATTTCCATGGCCACCACTCCTTCGTAGTTCCTTCTCAGGAAAGATTGATGGCGGATGATCAAGAGTAACGCGTCTTAACAGTCAAATATGATGTCCAAACGACATAGGGCAAAATTTACAAAAAATATACCATTGAGGACAAACGCATGTTGGAAAGCGTTACAGAGCTCATAAATATGTAGATTTTCTTTGTTTTGGAATGTTGCCATTTCCACTGTTTCATTGCATTGTTGAAACATTTGAAACGGCATGGTGTGCCACCAGTGAGTTGACACTTTAAGGCGCCACTGTGCGAGATGTTAACTGCCTCACCCGGTATACAGGAGGTCATGGGGTCGATCCCAACCCTGACGCCTGCTGCTCTATATTTGGAGTTTTCATGTTCAACTCATGGTCACGTGGATTTTACTCCGGGTCCTCCGGTTTTTCCCTCCGGGTTTTCCCTCCGCATTAAGCAACATGCGTTTTGAGTATTTGGCTGCTATAGATTTCCACACGATAATCCACTTTGTTGAGCTATCATTTGTGGCCAGGTCGCTTCTGAAAAAGAACTTTATAGCTCAGTGGGCCTTACCTGGTAAAATAAACAGTTTAGAGTATTTCTTTTTCATTTTAAGTGCTGAAAATGTTTGGTCAGTCCAGTATATTATTCTGATGGAGGTTATGAGTTAATTAATTGTAGGGTAAGTGACTGATATTTAGATATCAAGAGAGCAAATGTTCTGAGTGATATTTATTTAGCATATTTTTCCACTTTAACATTGTAACGAGCAATACGCTCTAACGGTTAATTGTAATCCATGTTTCCCAGTAAACTGCCAAACATTTTGGTATAAACCGCAGCTGTGCACATTTCAATTCAGCCTTAGTTTCATTTGTGACGTTCATCGACGCAAAAAAATCTGTTTAACTTACTGTACGGTATTATATTTCGTGTTTGGAGAATTTATATTATCTTAGACTGTACAAGGTGGCTTCAGGCACACCGAATTAGACCCACTGTGACATTCAATTGTAGTACTGTTGCTCCGCACTATTATTTGAACCGTAGCAACAATCGTGAAGTAAGATATGGCCAACCATGAGTGTAGATGCATTGATTTTCAAAGTGAAAAATCACGATGTGCTGTAATATCTTTGAACTTCTTTTGCGCCGTACGTAGTAAACCATGCTAACAAACCATGCCAATCGGAGGTGCGGGGGGAATGACAACAAGATACACAAAGCAGTTCGAAAGAAATTCGTTTTCAATCTAATGGTGGTAATGGGGGATAAAGATGAGTTTTCTGTTTGTGTTTCGTTGAAAAAACTATCTTTCACATCAGCTGCATTCTCATGCAAAACTTGAGTTCTTTTGACATATGACTAAGACTTTACAGAATTGCACATTGGAGGTGCATTTAACTGTAAACTTTAAAGCAGTCGTGGGTAAGGGTGAGCTGGTGGCAAGGGGGGTGAGGTTGGGGCGAAGGGAAAGTTGATGAAGTTGGCACAGCCTTATTGAGTTAAGTAACCACACCTGGACTGGTTCTATAAAAACGGTTGTGTATTTCCCAACCAGTGAACATTCATGAGATATATTCACGAGGTATGTTCATGAGGTATGAGCTATATTCTTTTGTGCTGTAGTTTTCACCAACATTTCAGTTTTAAGTGTAACTTTATTGTTGTGATATTTCCACTTGAACTTTGGTCAGATAATGATTAAATGTTGGTCAGGATAATTATAACTCGGCATCATATTTCGGTTGTATTTCTGGGAACTTGCAGAACTTTTCTACACAGTAGACGTTGCCCGGGTTTTTGTGAGGGAGAGAGTTGGTGCTGATTGTCGTCCCCATTGCCATGCAGGGCCAGCGTGCTTTGTCACAATGGCGGAGGCCCATCAGGCCGTGGCGTTCCAGTTTACGGTGACCCCTGAGGGTATCGACCTACGTCTGAGCCATGAGGCCCTCAATCAGGTCTTCAAGTCTGGGGTGCGCTCCTGGAAAAAACGTGCTCTTCGCCTCAAGGTGAGCCATTGAAGGTTCCCAAAGTAAAAAAAATATATCGGAAATTGACAATGAGGATAAGGTAGAAATCTTTAAAGAATTCAGTTCAGGTGTATGTTCAATAAAATTGTTTTGTAACGGATTATGTAGTGTACTGCCCGTAAGTTTACAATTACAGCTCAATGTTTTTAGTAACGCAAGCTTCAATTTGAAAAGTGCAGATGGCTATTTAACGGTCATTGTAATTCAAATGAGGGCATTCAGACGAGGCTTGGTGTAACTTCCGTCTGAAAGTATTAAATGTGAATTAGCATTATCGATAGCTCGTGATATAGGAGAGAATGCTGGAAATAAATGCAGGTTTCTTTAAATAGGCTCTTAGCTTGTTATATAAACAGAGGACCATCTCTATACAGTACTGGATTTTATGTCATCCATTGAGTGAGCATGGTATTGATTGTTAATGAAAGTAAGCTGTCTGCTATACAGCAGAGGTTAAATACCCTTTGACGACATCATTCTTTAATTATAGGACACTGCGACTGTGAGTCCACTTTTCTGACTTGATTTATCACTTCTTTCCACAACAGAACAACATTGTGTCAGGAATGTATCCAGCAACTCCATCCAGCTGGCTGTTCGTGGTGGTGGCGATCATGGCCACCAAGTACGCACGGATGGAGCCTTCCCTGGGCATGATTGACACCATCCAGCAGAGCCTTCCCACCACGTCAGTGACATCATGCATGATGCACCACACGAATCATGTTACAAACTACACAAGTCTGCTCTCCATAACTGGTTGTGAAAACACCGTGGTACTATATGGGCTTTTTACTTGATACTAAATATATGGCATTGTTCAAACCCAACTGATGTTCCAAAGGTGAACTGGCATTTTTGGTGTTACAATTAAAAAAAAACATTGTTGTGTCCTTGATGTTTGTGGATACATTGATCGTCTTAAGATATTGAAATTTGCAAATGTTCCACTGATGTGTTAATGCTATTGAAAATAAGCCAATCTTATTTTTGTAATCTCAAGTATATTTTGATGCTGTAATTTCTTGCTGTTTTGCGAGCAGGGAATATCTGTCTAGGGACAGCAAGGATGTGCTCAGTGGGCTCCTGCTGGCTACTGGACTGTGGCTGGGGCTTATTCTAGCTCTCAGACAGTTCCTCAAGCTGCTGCTCTCCTACCACAGCTGGATGCTGCAGAGACACAAAAAACTTTCTCTTACCACTAAAATCTGGATGGTGGGTAGTTCATCTTTGACACTTGCTTCAATTAAATACTTCTCAACTGCATATGGGCAATTTAATAACTGCTTGCATGCATTTGAGTTTAATGTTATTGATTTGGTAAGAAGAAGCAGTGTTACTTTAGCATTTGGTAAAAATACACTGGCTGTTCATATGAAATATTGAATCTACTTGTTGCGCCATCAGTTTTCTTTGCTGTCCAAGTACTATTACATTGGTAAAGGATATAATCAGCCTTGACCTTACCTTGACAACTCCCTCTATTACTGTAGAGTGCAGTGCTTTATTTATTAACTTACTGCTGAATTTAGTATTGAATATAACAGAACTTTGCATGATAGGAGCATGATGTAGCTCTTGTGGGGTCATATTCCCTTTAAAATGTTATCACAAAACATGCTATACTTTGTACAGCTTTGTTATACATATGCACACATATATACAGCAACCCTTTTCATTCTGAACATTTACGGTACATGTATTTAACACAAAAAAATAGTAATCAATTTACATTCACAATACTTCCTGAATAATTTTTGGGTTGATGTAGGGACACGATAAATGGGGGGGTTGTATTACGAAAGTGAATCAAATCCAAGTCTTGCCATCTGCATTTGAGTTTGCGGATCGGATCACGGATTTGCCGTTTGCGACTTTAAATAACATAACCCCTGCAATGGGCAAGGGTTTGCTTTACATCTGAAAATAATGCAGATCATTTTCTTGCACAGCTATGTTGAGTCATTTTTCATTGTCATGCATTACATACATGTGTAGTGAGTGACTTTTGAGACACGTCGTGTAGAAGGCTTTTTATTTAATAAGAGCATACTGAGCGATACATTTATGTAACGCAGCTACACATAGCCGACCCTAACACACAACCCCTTCGTCGGCGTCCAACTAACTAGCTGCCCGACTAGCGCAGTGACTGCGACGGTGAGAGCCTTGCAGGAGATCGGCCACGTGGTCGGACGACGTAGAGAGATGACGGCGAGCAGCGACGCAGCCAGGACCCAGGACCCACAACAGCACCGAACCTCTGGATCGGTCCCCCTTATATGCGCTCCAGCGTGGCCAAGCCCCGCCTCCGGCCATGCCCCCTTCTAGAACCCTCGAGCAGGTTCCCGGGGCTTCTCGGCTGACTCCGCCTTTCACCTTTACCCCAGATACGCCCCCCTCATAATTAGGCATTATGTAATGTACCCATAACCGCGATTACCCCTTCAGGCCGACAGGTGGCACCCTGTCATTACATATGGATAAACAGCTTGTACATGTATATACTAGGTTGAGTGCACTCAAGCTAATGCATAATTGAAAATTAAAAACGTGTGCAAGCAGATAAAGGTTTGCCAGCTATTCACCAGATGCAAACATTTTATTGTAGGCCAAAAACATGACCGACATATCACCTTGTCTAGACATTCCACGTGTGAAAACATTGCTATTGGGTCAAAGGTTACACAGAGGGGGGATAGTTGATGGGGCTGATGCTAACTACATTTTTTTTTGCAGGGATTGGTTCAACTGTTCTGCTCCCGAAAGGCCATGCTGTACAGCCACCAGGCATCCCTCCCACGGCTCTTCGTTCCCTCCATCCCTGACACCATGCGCCGTGTAAGAAACACTCACCTTAAATCCAACGTCTGTGGGATGAGCTACTCTATTTTAGACAGCTGCATTTGCTACAAATCCGCACGGGCATTACTGCTTCTACATGGATATTTGCTGGTTATTCAACCAGTATCCCTGCTCTTTTTGAGGCAAGTCAATCTATTTTATCACTTCATTTGCAGCTCGCAGCAGAGTAAAATATTTTTAAACCTGTTGTGAAATGTACTAACCTATATTCATGATAAATCAAACCGTGGAAACGCAAGGCTTCTTTTCAACTGTTGCTTAGGGTTGTGGTAACAATGCTTTTGCCAATATAAAATGTAGTTCATTATCAACTTAACTTTTTTTTATCAAACTTCAGTTTTTAACCATCTTCATCCACTGTCTTTATGCTGTTTAGTTCCATGCATAATTATGGTTGTAGGAATTAATGCATTGTTATAAAAAGCCCATTTATTTATGTACTGTAATATTATTTGCTTGTTTTGGCTTCAACAGTTTAACAGAAAATGGTAGTAGACTAGGTAAAGTTTTGGTTTTGCAAGCATGGAGTTTCCTTGTTAACATCATGTGAACCAAGTGTTGTGTGTGCTGTGTCTTGCTGGTCTCCTGCAGTACCTCGAGTCTGTGCGTCCGCTGATGGACGATGAGAAATTTGAGCGAACGCAGGCACTGGCGACAGATTTTCAGAACACCCTGGCGCCCAAACTGCAGTGGTACCTCAAGCTGAAGTCCTGGTGGGCGTCCAACTACGTGAGTCTCGGCATCATTGCGTTTTTATATACCGGAAAAAAGGCAGTGGCAGTGTTTTTCTTGTATAAAAAAAGTGCACTTTGGCTAACAGTGGTTTATTGTCATAGAGTGGAATGGGCTGTTTGTGTCCATGATGTTTCATCTAGGTGAGTGACTGGTGGGAGGAGTACATCTACCTCCGTGGCCGTGGACCCATCATGGTCAACAGCAACTACTATGGCATGGTGACTGCACACTCGCTTACCTTTTAGTGCACCTGGTGGCACGGTCGGGCAGTTGTATACAAGTGCTGTGACCAAATCGAAGTGACTACCAAAGTAAAATTAAACAATAAAATGGGCTTGCTTGGAAATAATAATAGTAGATAAGAAGAAATAAGAATTTTGACATGGGAAAGATAACATTCAAATGATATACACTTGCGTGGCATTTATCTAAGTTAATGCTCATCAACAAATCAATCATGGTAATTATATGAAAGTGAACATGCACTGTAATATAATGTTAATGATTATCTTTAATAAGTTATGCACTATTATAATAGCATTACATGAACATAATTGTATAAAAAACAATAAGAAAGAATAACGCATCTAGCCTGAATTTTGAAAGTTCGTAGTATTACATTTTATAATATGAAAACAGCACTGGTGATATCAAATAAAGGAATTTCAGCATTGCGTCTGAAATGTAGTTGTGCATTCAGGAGGCAGCGTATTTGACACGCATCCCTCTTCCACTTTACTGCCACAGGACTTCCTGTATGTGACACCAACGAGCATCCAGGCTGCACGTGCTGGAAATGTGGTGTATGCCATCCTCATGTACCGCAAAAAGCTGGAACTGGAGGAACTCCAACCGGTTTGTGGCCCATACATACTCTCCTTCTCTTGCTCCTTGTGTTCTACCTTATTCATTCACTTATCTGCTGGGGCCCTCTTCTCTGCCAGCCTCTAATCGTCTCCTTTTTTTCCTCTTGTCCCCTCCATTGTTTTCATAGCTGCTTTTTTCTTGTCCCCTCTATCATTTCTCCTTTCGTTTATCGCTTGCTTTGTTTTCTCTGACCATTCTTTTGTTTATGGAGAATTTGATATTGCTGCGTAGGTTTTTGTATATGTGCTGTGTAGCTGTCGAATGTGTTTTCGGGTTGTGCCATGTGTTGTTTGACATGATATTCGACGTTTCGCTCCATATGCTGGCAGCTTGTATTTAAAAAGTTCCCATCACGTGGGACCAAACGTCGAACATCATAGGAAACAACACGCGGTACAACCCGAAAACATGTTGGACAATTGTAAGATAGTCGAAGATTGCTTGGAAGTATTGTACCTATAAATGTCATGAGCTAGAGCAGCTGAATAAGGTCTTGGCAATAGGCATTGTGTGGGATTGGCTGAGTTAGTTTATGCGATGAGCAGAACGGCCAGATACATAAGAGAAACCAAATGGACTCGATGACCCTCTGGAAAATGATAAAGTATTTTCTTCTCTTCATTGCTACCCATATTTATTTATTGTCCTTTTGTCTATTCATAATCACAGGCCACTCATGTTTGTTACCTATATTTGACTTCATGAGGTGTCAGTGTTAACGCTATTTTAGCAAATGTAATGTGCTACACTCATGTAGTGTATAACTTAGTTTTTCTTACGTTACTCGTGTAATTAAACATATCTGTTACAAACCCCCCCCGCCCACACTTATGAAATAACACCCGTTTCCAATAAATGAAGGGGAAATTAGTGTTGTAATGTTTGTCTATTGACTCAACATTTTGCAAATGACTTGGAATCTCATTACTATTGTTCATAACTATATTATCGGTAGGTGGAAACTCGGGTTTATTGTGACGTTTCCTTCGGTTGCGAATTAGTTGACTCAACCCTCAGTATCATTGTGGTATGCCAGTGCAGCTGACATTGTAGCACAGAATAATGTGGGTGGTTGTGGAATGGCTTTTGGACGTATTTGTAGAGTGTAAATGGGCGACAACCCCTGTGCACTTGAGAGAAATGTTTTAATTGCGCTGGCAGGGCATGTTTGTCTAAATCTTTTCTTCTCTTTTGCACCCGGCGAGAAGCAGTGTAGTTAAAGCTTCATTTGTAATATAAATTGTGTCCTCGTGCAATACATTTTGTTCCAGTTCATTGTGTGCTTTTCTAAGTCGAAATATTTTTGTGTATAAAGAAGTGTCCTTTCTCTCTTGCGAACTCAACCCATACTGCCCTTGGAAGCATTTCACACATTACATTTAAAAAAAAGCAACACACTTGTTTTTATACTCTTTGGTTCTTTCGGTAAAGTCACGTAGATAGAAAATTAATAGATCACGACGTTTCGATCGCAACACAAGCAACCGTCATCAGGTGAGACAAGCAGCAGGAGAACTGCTGACGCAAGTGCGTGTGTTTGTCTCGCCTGATGACGGTTGCTTGTGTTGCGATCGAAACGTCGTGCTCTATTAATTTTCTATCTACATGACTTTACCGAAAGAAGCAAAGAGTGGATTCCTGCAGTCACGAAAGCTTCAAATCAAGATTGACACTTGTTTTTGTTTGTGATATTGTTTTTTGCATGTAACGTTAAGGAAATATATCTTCTTGCCAGATTTTGCTTCTCCAATGCGTATTTTGTTACGCTCTTCCTGCAGTCTCGGCGTAGCTCAAGTAGATTTTTGCACGGTTTTATTTAGTTGTGAGCGTGACTATTAGAAGGGAGCAAGTTGCTGAGTGCAGTGGCTGTAGGCATGTTATAGGTGAAGATGTGTAAGGTGACCTAAGGTGATTGTAGATAGGATTGGCAATGCATTTACCATTTCTCTAATTTAACACATCTTCACTTATAACCTATAGCCTACAGCCACTGCACTCCTGTACCTTCCTAAACTAAAACATGATGAAAAAATTAATGGTGTGTAGATCGGAGATTTTCGGCCAGGCCAGCACAGTTGGGACCACTGTGGAAGGCCCTATTTAAAAAAAAATAACGTGTCCTGAAATTTTTCTTCTAATTAGATTTGATGGGCATTATGTCCATGCAGAATTTAATTGTTGCGGTAACTTGCTTCTTATTAGAGGTAGAAAGATGGATCAATTGGTCAATATAATATAGATAATTGAGTTAATATATACATGCATTTAATTGCACATGAGAATTGATCTATATTATATTCGTATACACGTTGTATGTAATTCGCTTCTCATGACCTCAACAGCCACGACTGATCATACCTGGACTTGAATAAGTCCATTTTGCTGAGGTGACAGCATTAGTTGTGTTAAGGTAACCCAGACACATGTAATAGGTGGGCTGCAAGAAGGCTAACGTCTTCCACCAATATTGTATAGACCGTATAGTAAACGACTGTAGTCTGCGCTCCTTCAATGGAGGAATAAAATGGTACACCAACTCTTCTCCTGAAGCCTTCTCGTGGCTAGCATACCTCGACATTGGCACTTAGCTCCTAAGCGTGCTGTATTGCCATATGCAAGAATAGAATAGAAACAGCCACCTGTGGCCCCTATTTTCGCCTCTGTTAAAAATTGAATGTATTCTTTAATTGTGACTGAATCGCTACAATTCATTTCTATCGCTAGGCACTGGGGTGATTAAAGGGAGGTGTTTGTTAAACATCTACTGATGAATTATTTTGCTTGCTTTCAGCACATGCAAGTGAGAGGCACTATATTGACTGTCACGACAAGTAAGAGTGGCAGCCAAACGGGAAACAAGTTCGAGAGGATATCCATTGCATCTGAGAGACAATCTCACGTGCAGAATCTGGATGGGTTGTTGCATCATGAGACAATAAGGGATGGGGTGGAGGCCTTCGTCCAGCATTCAATTGACAATGGGCTGTAAATGATCAGAAAAATAAGCACAACGTTTTAATTCTCGAAAGTACTTAAGACTGTAACTTAGCAGCATGTGAATTGACAAGCAGCGCAAAACCAACGTGAATGAGGTGATGGTGTAATAGCTGCTGATGTCACGCTTTCCTCACGAAGTGTGGAATGGGGGGGGGGGGCATTTGAAAGCCATTTGCGTAATGCTTGTGGTGGTTGTACAGGACTGCCTGTCTTCCTCTGTGGCCCACTTTGCCATCCACTACCCACCCTACAAGGGTTTCATTCAACATGAGGCAAAGGGATTGGGGTTGCTAGGCTGCTCTTGTGCCACATGTGCTTATCCACGCTGCATATTTGTGACTAATCAGATGGAACGTAATCAATCTATCTTCACAGGGCTTTAGTGAGCGCAGTCATGCAGTGCATATCGTGGCATAGCGAGAAAACCTATTCATTCCGTTCAGTGATTCATTGTAAAAAAAAAAAACATTGTGCTTTTTGCTACGGCAAGTACATACAGTGCTTAAGGTATGGCCATAACTGTTCACTGATCCACAGCAGTTCGTCACGAGCAATTAGATACAAATTGGAGAACATCTGTTTTCAACGTATGCAATAAGCGCAAACATTTGTCATAGCAAACCATAGTAACTGCTGTCCATTTCAAGAACTTCGCTAGCAACATTCTGCACCGGTAACTAATTCAAGTACAAATTATTGAGCATGGCAGCCTATTTTTATCACGTGTATTTGAACTATCGGTTGTTTATGGGGCGTGTTTCGTACTGGAAGGAGTCCAAAGCGGAGAAAGTGCAACATCGGCAGCCGCTCGGTTTGTTTATATACAGTGACGGGTAAGAGTTAATTCTCCTCCTCTTGCTTGGCAGCCATAATATGTTAGAACTATTCTTGGATAGCAGTTGTAAAACAATATATATATAAGAGCTGTGCGTAAAGGGTTGGTGGTGTTCAAAAAAGTTGGCAAAGCAGGAGAATTGTTCAGCTATAAAGTATTTCCTCGGTAGATTATTCTTGTTGGTTTGGAGAAAACTGCCATGCCGAATTACTATTACTTAGTTGGTCATGGGTTATTGGAATGTGATTTTAGTGTACCATTGGTTCATTCATTTATTGTTGTATTCTTTTTTTCTGTGTGTTGTTTGCAGCTTACATTGCCAAACAGCTGTATCCCTCTGTGCTCGGCCCAGTGGGAAAGGATGTTCAACACCACACGAATCCCAGGCATAGAGACGGGTATGCAGTGTGTATAAACGCACACATGCCTATCCTACGCCGTATTCAAGAGGTGGTGGCGGCATTACATTTTTAAACTATACTGGATTGTATGTTAGCACACATGTTCATGTCTGTACTCGCGCATTCTATTCAGCCTTAACAGAATGTTTTTTTAAAGAAGTAATCACTGCATCATGTTTATTAGATTCTTGCTTTTGGAACTTGCCTGAGGCTGAAATGAGGTTTTGTGCGTGAGTATATATGTTAGTATGGTTTAGTTCCATAAGTGTGCCTCTATGCCCCAATTATGCACGGTATAAATCAATAAAAATGTATCTTGCTCTGAGTGGCCTTCATAACTCCTGCAGTATATTGGCACTGTATGGTGGTGGCGGTTGTTTAGAAGTTTACGATAAAGTGTTTAAGAATTTTATGTATTCGAATACCATTTATTTGATACAAAGTTGTCAAATCCATTACATAGCCCTGATGTAAAATTATATATATTCTTTAAAAAATTGTGTTCTCACAACCAGGATAAAAAATACAATCTTCACATTCTTAATATGTTTTAATTCATGTCTTTAAGATGCAGTTAATAAGTAAAAAAAAAGCAATCTATGTGTCAGATTCCATCCAAACTACTGTTTCCCTGTGTCAGCACGGATGTTATTTGCCCATTAAAAATAAAAAAATCACTTTTGGAAAGATAAGTTGCTCTACTAAAAAAAAAACATTTCGATCCAAATAAACCTGGTTATCATCGGCCGTGGTGTGCAGACACGTTGCAGCACTTGAATGACAGCAAGCACTTGGTGGTGTACCATCGCGGGCGCTTCTTCCGCCTCTGGCTGTACCACGGCGAGCGCTTGCTGGGTCCCCGCGAGCTCCAGAAGCAGTTTCAGCGCATTCTGGACGACCCCTCCGCCCCACAGACCGGCGAGGAGAAGCTGGCGGCGCTTACGGCTGGGGATCGGTGCGTGCCACATGTCGTTTGCTGTGCTTGTCGTGATAGTGATAGTGCGAGTGAGTGTGTGTGTGTGTGCTTCGGTGGCGCAGTGGTTCACGCGCTGTGCTACAAACCCGGCGACCCGAATTCGATTTCCGCTCATGGCCAACACCCATTGACGATTATTTGAACCGGTCCTGGGCCTCTTCTAGGTCGACTCGCTTGTAATGAGTACCTGGTGCGTTGTGTAAACATCACCATTAGAGAGACAACGGTGGCAGGTCGTGGTGCTGACCACCAAAACCCCCTTCATGTGCCCTGCCAACCTTCATAGGCGCTCGCTAACAGCGCTTGCCCCAACAATCTGTTCAGGATATGTGTGGGATTTTTGTCTTTGCTTTTTGTGTGCTGCATTCTCAGAATATAACTTAAACACACTGTTAGTCATGACCTCAGTTATTATTATCATCAAACTGAGGTCCTTATGGAGAGCTGTGATTAGTGCACTTGCTATGAACCCATTGACCTGATTTAAATTCCCAGTCAGATTATGCAAAATACAGGAACAAATAATAACAAACTCTGGTTGTGTTAATGATGAATGTGTTGAAAGAGCAGTCTTATGGACCATTGCCCAAAATGTTGCATGTTTTAAACTTTTGCTTTAAGGCGAATTAAAGAGTTATGTTGTTTATGCTTGTGCACCACAACTACTATCGCAAAAATCACAAGATGTGTTTACTACAGTATAGGATTATATTGCAAATATAGTATGACCGACGTTTGTGCCTGCTGTGGGCCTTCACCTGGTAAAATAAAAAAAATATTTTAGTAGTTTAAAATAGTGTTGGTCAGTTTTTGGAATACTCTGCGATGTTAACACGACCGCGCATGTTAGCATCCTTTATATTGGCTGGGCTCTGCACGTCGCATTGCATCAATAATTTCATCCATGCTGCTCTCTTGGCACAAGATGATTTGTCCCATTTGCCTCGGATTTGAGGTTGAGCATAATGTCGGTCATTACATCTAACCGTGTGATTGAGGTTTACTTTAGCAAATTACTTTTAAGCTGTAGCAGTAGATAAATGCAGTTGTACAAGTGAAGTTGTTAACTATACTTTAATTGCTTAAATCCATTGTAATCCCACTGTGGTTTTTTACGTGGCTTACGGGATCTAGGTTTTGGGAATCTGTAGGGGGCTGTTTAGCAAAGGTTTTAAGCATCATACAATTTAATTAACATGCAATGCACAGCAGTTTATAGCTAAAAGGCAAAGCTAACAGTTTGAAAAATATATCATTTTTGTTACCTTCATTCATATTTGTGTAATCCACGCCCCATTGCTTTATATGCTGTTTATTAATGTTCATATTTATAGAACATTTCAAGAAAAATGTTATAGGAAAAACACATTCTCGTTATAACTTTACATGGATAAAACATAGGAGGTAATGCAATTAACTCCATTTCAAAATATGAATTTCGAGAATATTCTATCCACTGCAATTATGGGTAAGGACTTGGGTAGATGCACATCAACCGCTTCGTAAGAATGTGGGGATGGTATCAAATTAGCATAAGTATGGTTCACAAAGTTAAGTAAAACAATTTAAAATACATTTCTCAAGCACTTTTAATTGATCGTGCATTCGATTGATGAAGACAGAAATTTGTGTGTGTGTATATATACAGTTGTTTTGTTAATCCACTGCTGGATGAGGGCCCCTGCAGGGTTTTCTTTTTACTTGGCTGCTGCTTTCTGGTTTGTATTGGTGAAGACAGGGAGCATAGATGTGGGAGATTGTAAAAACAGTACAACAATTACATTTAGCTGGACTTCCCTTTATGTAGCCCTGCGGTCCTGGCAGCCTGTGTTGTGCTTGATGGTCACCAATACGACCACTCATTTGCTCACCTTCCAAGACCTCACGACACGGTCGTACATCAATCGTGTCTCGAGTGCGCATATTATTTTTCGTGTCATTTTGTTCGCAGGGTTCCCTGGGCGAAGGCTCGGCATGCCTTCTTCCGCAGCGGCGTGAACCGCGTATCGATGGATGCAGTGGAGCAGGCTGCCTTCTTCCTGACGCTGTCTGACGACGAGCAGGGCTACCGGCCCGACGACCCCGAGCGCACGCTCAATGACTACTCCAAGTCGCTGCTGCATGGGAAGTGTTATGACAGGTGGGTGCCACTCCTCGGGTTGTTAATTGTGGGTGGAGGAGATCTGCAATTCCATCCCCTGCCCTCGATTGTCATGTTAGCCAATTAGTAATTTAAAATGTATAGCCAATTACTATATAGCTCTTACCTTGGTGGAATTCTAATACTGTAACAATTATCTTAGATTGCGTCTTCGTTCAGACTCGTTAATTTTTGTCTCGTCATAGTCACGCTTTTTGGTGGGGAGTTGTAGTCACCGTCGTTGTTGGCGATGAAAATGTTCGACGCTAATTTCAGTGATGAAATCCGCCCCTGGTGACGGCCATCGAAACCACCCCTCCTCACACCTCGAGTTTACCTCCGATTCTTGTCCTTCGCAAACACTCATTCATCTTGGGCTCCAAAAAAGAGTGTTTGGTTGACTGAGACCAGTGGGCTAAGATTGCGCAATCATAGCGCTCAGTGACTCGTGCATTTGTTTTATTTGTAGTCACTTGTGATGGTGTAAAAATAAGCGGAATGGAAACGGTGTTTCACAAGACAACCCAAAAACAGATTGTATAAAATGTATTGAGGCAGATGACGAGAAGTCCTGTGTTGCCTCAGCTCCAAGGGTTGTTCATAAATCGGATGTCTTGCCGTCCTATGGTTAAGGGTTTTGAGTAATAAGTATAGACCCTTGCTTTTCATGATGCCAGGAGCAAAGCTAGCAAAAAAAATGTGCATGAGCATTCAGGTTAAAGGGATGCCTCCTTTATTTGTTTGTTTGGGACACAAGCTGTTGTGTTTTTGTCATTGGCAAGTTGTTTCTCTATTTTCTAACACACAGACTCGCCCAAACAGAAAGCTTTGGCTCTTTCAACAATAACCATTTGTTTCAATTTGTTTTTCCACGGGCTGCTTCTGCTTCCATTGCCACTTTGTACCATTGGTACTTTATACACACCGACTGCCAGGTTTCGTTTGCCAGTGATATTTACCACCGCCTTTATGGTGTTTGGAAACGGTTGTGTAATCTGCTCAACTTTTCAACCTGTTGCACAAGAGGTAGGCTGGTGCATTATCAGAGGAAACGACGCAGGAAGATAAGGTATCATGTGTGTCTAGAGAGGTGTGGTGAGCTTTTAATTTCGGTTTACCCACAGGTGACCTCACTTGTAGCTACATGAAACCATTCATTGCTTATTGTGTCACTGAAATAAGTTGCATGGAGAAGTCGCATAAAAATGTACACTTGATTGAAGGCTTTGAAGCATATAGGACAAGATGAGGAGAGTAAAGTGATCTGATTAGGTGGCAATGAGAGTGGACTAAAGATTGGATTTAAGGGAATGCCACACGCATGCAGTAGATTAAAATAACGTACCGCAAGAGACGAATCATTTTGAAATGATGAAATCACATGAGAGAGCAGTAGAGTTAAAACGACCAAAATGTACTGCAACAGGGTGCAAATTGAATGGAAGTGCAGTGTGGGAAAGAGATAAATACATACTGACAGATTGTATTGGACTACGCAGAAAGCATGAAGACACATGTACTGATACTAGTTCACATAATGGTCACAATCCCGGAATATATATTTTTTTAACACCACGACCTCCGCCATCAAGGAAGAGAAGACAGAAGTCACTGGCTGGTGTGGAGACATTGGACCCCAAGATGATATACCTGGGGTCCTAGAAAAATCGTGGAACGCCCAGGGACACGGCATGACGAACCATCAAAGCCACCTTCTCCCCCATGGAGAGCTCACGCTAACACTTTTTTTGGGTGCCCAAAGGAACGAAGGCCATAACAGCGATTGTAGGTATTCTTGCATTAGAAAACATGGGAATGACACCAGGAAGAAAGTCCTAATAAGAGGGGCTGTCCTTCAAGTTGTTTGATGTTTAATGGCAAACCATGGCTGCAGTGGGAAGAATATAAATCCAGGTGGCGTCCACTGAGATAACTGAGAGTGCTTATCTGGGTGAAGCAGCTGGGAGACTTGTGTTAAGGTCAGGTAGAGGTGCACTCTTGTAAAGCAAACCATTTATTGCCCTTGAATTATTGCTAATACGATAGCCCATTACAACAGTGTTGGGTGGTGATAAAGACTGGATAAGGCCCATGGGTTGTGGTCCAGTGTGCATTGCTAGAGATGGAGTCAAGGTGAAGTCAGCCAACCCTAAATCAACAGAATGATGGAAGTGGCAACTTCTGTGTAAGGGATCTCACTCTGAGCAGTGGCTGGAGAGACTATGGATGACAATTGATGGTATATGAAGAAGAGGCCAACTTAAGAGGAGAAGCCCATGGGGTCTTCTGGAGGGCTGTGTAGCTATCGCTTTAATTTGCATACCTTAATACTTAATCTATTAAGGATATTGTTAGTTACCCAAAAATCAGTGGAGTAAGCATTGGTCAACCTCTTTCACAGAGTCTGGCATTGCGTTAATCTTGAGTTCTTGTGAAGCAAGTTCAAATATATGAAGTGCATAGCCCATTTTATTGTTCCTTGCATGGCTTAGTGTCTGCTTCAATTATGCCTGGTGTCAGAGTAAAAAGACTCCAGCTTAAGAAGAATCAGTTCTGTGTAAAGCAAATTCATTTTGGTTTCCAAGCCCACACTTACCCACAGGTTTAGAAGCTTTGTGGACCGGATATCACACCATGTGCCTGAGTTGGTGTGAAGACTCTGCAATAATAGGAAAATAACAAACAAAATGACTCCATAAGTTTTTGCAGTTATACTGTATATAGCACCTGTGTTTTTTGGGGTTTAGCACGTGTTATTCAGCATGATGTCCAACGTTTCACTCCACGTTCTAAGTGCACGTCCTGAAGTAGCTTTCCAGAACGTGGAGTGAAACGTCAAGACGTCATGCCAAACAACATGCGATACAACCCAAAAACAGATTGTATAAAACATGACAGCCTAGCCTTTGGTGGTGTTGCAACACATAAGGGGAGGATGGTGAGATAGGTGTGTGCTGTGGATGACGGTGTGGGTGAGAACACTGAGGAGGGGCAGCTTTCAGGAGCATGTAACATCACCACAGTCCAGAATTTACATTTGTAGAGACACACAAAGTGGTCTCTACGCTACTCTGTGGTTCTTGAGGCTATGTAACAAGAGGCTATACAGCAGCCCTTTTGCCCACTTCAGCAATTGTTTCTTGCTGTGGTTGTCCCACCTGATGACGGACACTTGCGTTGCGCCTGAAACGTCACGTGATTTAATTTATTTTATACCTACGCGACTTTACCGAAAGAAACAAAGAGTGGATCCCTGCAGTCACGAAAACTTCAAATCTAGGTCTCTACGCTATTGCGCCAGCCACGCTGTGCGCCGGGAGCCTCCATTGGAGGACTAGCGGACACCTGACCGGGAGCGGGGAGCTCCAGTCGGGATGCAGGAGGGGGCGATGGCCTAGGGCGCTGCGTGGAAGCGGGGCCAGGGGGTAAAGGGGGAGCGCCGAGGGGACTCGGGGCTCCTTTTGGGGATCCACTGAAGAGGACTTCGCTCTTCGCTACCGCTCTTCGTCGTCGTGTAGATTTAGCTGGGAATCGTGGGTCTGTACCAGGTGTGCTACCGACCCGGTTGATAGCTAAGTCGCACATAGTGAACAGTCCGAGAACAGTATAGCCACACTTAACAATAGAACCCAGTGATCAGTGAGTTGTTTTATTAAACGCGTTGCCTCCACAAATAGTGTGTGTGCGCGCCTCAGTGCTTACACTACACATTTAACCCAAGGGCGTCACGACCAAAAACGGCGCTAAATTAAGGTGCCTTGCCAGCGTCACCACTTGCAAAGAGAGAGCATTGCAAGACAAGATGATTAAATATGCCCTGATTATAATTGAAACCATGCCTTTAGGCATGTAAAGAAAGGACTTGTGAGACCCAATAATTGTATTGCCCAATGTTAATGATAACAGAAACTTTACCAGGTGATACAATGCAGATTTAAATGTATTGTTATTATGCTGCTTTGCAAACAAGCACCCCTAAATGTAAACAACAGTTTACAATTCTAGATTTGAAGTTTTCGTGACTGCGAGGATCCATACTCTTTGGTTCTTCCCCCCCCCACCCCTCTCTGACTTATATAACCTCCTGAACCCCAGCTTCTCTCCCACTTCAGTAAAAAATATATATTGCTGTGGTTTTCACACCTGATGATGATTGCTTGTGTTGCAATCGAAACGTCGTGATTTAATTAACTTTTATTTATTTGTATTTTATTTTTTCACCTACGTGACTTTGCCGAAAGAACCAAAGAGAACAGTTTACAATTTATTTTAATTTTAATAAATTTCCTCGTTGAGCAAATATGCACTTTCCACCTCTAGACTTGATTCGTTTTGGTAAAGTCACGTAGAAGGGAAACAATAAAATAATACAAATATAAAATTCTCACGACGTTTCGACTGCAACACAAACAATCACCATCGTTCTATTGTTTCCCTTCTACGTGGTGACTTTACCGAAAGAACCAAGAATATGAATCCCTGCAGTCACGAAAGCTTTAAATCAAAATTTGATTAATTTTGTTCGAGTGATTTTTTTTTTATTAAATTGTATTGGGTGGTAATGTAGTTCTATCATTGCATTAATTTCTAGTTTGGACCATTTTTGTTAGTTTCAGAATATAGCTACTGAGCCAAAATTGGCATTCAAAGCGTGTCAATGCTTATTTGAAATAAAATGTAAATAAAATGTGTGTATCCATAAGTTAAACAAACAGTGTTTGCACCAGAAAAGTGTTTATTATACCGGAAAAATCTGTATGCAAACACGACATTGCTTATAATATGACAACACCTACATGTGTTCTGTAGACGATATCTGCTATACAATTCCTGTTGTGACCGGCTAGCATGAGGCTGCTGTATTTACTTTCGCTTGACTTAAAAAGGAAGATGCAACCCAACAAATACACAGATCTCATCTTGTAAGTACGGTAGTGCTTTGGCTGTGTGTTTGGAGTTGGCCAGCGGAGATGCGAATATTTCTCAGTAGGGGGACAGAGATGGGGCATCGGCTTTCAAGTCCATTAATGGAATGTGCTAGTGAAGTCACGAGTTTTTTTGCGTTAAAAATTCTGGGAGTTATGTCACTAAGACGCTTCTGAGTCGACCCGTAGTAATATTTTCCCTCCCTAATGAAGCTTAACTCTTGCCGGACGTCCTGGGATGCACAACCGAAGTGGGGTATCTACAGGATAACAGCTGTTCGGTTTTGGGTTGCTCATTCTTTACATTTCCTCTATCCGTTAGAGATAATTGATTTTTTTTGTCGCACGTCGACCATCGTCTCCAGAAGTCAGCACTGATGTTGCATAGACTGATGGTTGAGTGGCACAAAGTGCCTGCAGTTTCCCTTAATGTCATATTGGTAACCTTAGGCCATCCGCATGCAGATCACCCTGCTCCACATTATTAGCAGATGCCTGTTGTGTGTTTTTTTACAACTGTACTAAATTTTGTATTTTATTTCCATTCAATAAAGAGGGAATGTAAAATTGTTTGCTTTAAAACTGGTTTAACGCATAGGCTTTCTCGACCAATATCCATAAAGAGATTTTTTGGGATAGATCACGTAAATATGTGTTGTTAAAACCCACCACTACCCGACACAGCCAACTAGTAAGGGTTGTCACGTAAACAGAACATGCCAATTCGTCACTAGTACGCGATCTAACCCAAAAAAACTCTTATGCTTTAAAGCTGGCCTATCTCGTGCAAATTTTGGAAAATTCGCAAAATATGTGTTAATTATTTTATTTAGATTCTTTTTGTGTGAGGCAGCATAGTAAAATGTGGTTAAGCTAGTTCACTTTGCACGTATGTTTGTTGGGTGCTGTGTTGCAGGTGGTTTGATAAATCTTTCAGCCTGGTGGTTTTCAAAAATGGCAAGACGGGTATTAACGCCGAACATTCTTGGGCAGACGCCCCGATTGTGGCTCACATGTTTGAGGTACGTGTGTATGTGTGTGAGCAAGCATCACAACGACATTCATGCAATAAAAAAGGTCCTAATTTTACCCGAGAAAAAGAGACTGCTGGCACTCCCCTTGGCTGCTACAGCACGCAATGACATTGGTGTGGCCAAACACCACACCCAGCGATTTGCCTTTGTTTCCTTAGCACCTGAGTCAACGCACCTCCCACGCATACTGTACTTATTTTTACTGTACTTATTTTGTATCGGTGGTATAGTAAGCACACTGAGCTAACCACCACCACTACCACCACATTTTTATTGGTTCCCGTACAAGACAGACAAAGTCATGTCATCTCGACGTGGTTCAGACTGGGGCAAGTGCTGTTAAACGAGCACCTGTTGACGTCAGCATGGCACAAAAGGGGGAGAGTGTGGCCAGAACCACACCCAACCATATTTGTCTCCAGTCCTGATGTTGACACCCTGAACCAGGTACGAGTTTTAGGCTCGGTCGACCTACAATAGCTGGAGGGCCCTTAGCTGGCTCAGATACGGCTTGTCATTTATTGTAGCCATGGCCGACAGTCAAAGCCAGGTCACCGGGTTTGTAGGGCAGTGCGCTGACCACTACAACACACGCACGGTGACCATTATTACCATGACATCGTTACTGGGCTGGATAGACCCAATTGGCTCCTGTGGGGGTTCAGGCCCCCCCCCCTCCACCGTGTCTGGACGTACAGCCATTGCATTGCACAGGGAGCACGCTTGCTTGGTCTGCAATAAACCACCACCGCCATCGACGTAATAGTCCATCGTGCAAGGGAGTAAACTATTCGAGATGATTCAAACTTTCCTTGAAGTGACTCATTGCCACTCGTAAAGCCCCCCCCCCCCCCCCCCCCCGGTAAATATTCGGCAACTGTTTTAGGGTTTGCGGATGTTAAGAGAAGACTGAGAGCAGGGTTTGAATTTGGAAGGTTTTTATGGTGGCTGGGGAAATATTTGTACTTTTAAAATGCATTCTTGTAGAGTATAAAAGCAATTATACATCACTTGAATTAGGTATTCAAGTGTTGTCCATAGTGCTGGAGTAGTGTGGAGTGAGGCATCAAATACTCTTTTATGGGTCAGTGATGGGTCAGTGACACGTCGCCAATTCTACCAAGCCCCCTGCTCAATTATTTACTTTGGCTCAAATTACAATAACTTACAGTTATGTTTACGACAGCTTGTTGGCAACAATGGTGGCAGCAATGTACCTGGAGACATTTGTTGTTAAAATGTAATTTGCATCGATACATTGCCTGAATCTCAACTATCAATCAACTTTTGTGAAAGGATAAATGAATAGAAGCTTGCCCTACTCATAATGAGTATCAACCTTTTTGAGGAGGGTCCTGCATGGGAATATTTGCCTAATTACAATTAATGAGTGTTTGGCACGTCGGCAAATATTGCTTTACCTGGAGAAATGCTGCCCATATGTGGGGGAGGGGGGGGTGTAATGTTGCACACTGCTAGACTCAATATGTTGCTTTCATTTCTCCCTACCACCCCTGCCCAATTAAAGAAGCTTACACAAACTAACTGTGGTGAAATTAAGATCTAATCGCCATCGAGCATGTGGTGGATACAAAGGTTATTTTAATGCACATCAAGAGTTCATGGTGGGTTCTCGGGGCTTTAGTAGAAACCAAAAATACCCCCTCCCCCCAAATCTGTACACTCTCTGGGGTTGTGTAGTGCTATTGGCAGTAGAGCAATGGACTACAGTCCCAACGACCAAGGCTTGATTCCTGGCCATGCCCCACACGTTTTCCATTCGGCACCTGAACCTGGCCTAGGCCACTTCGAGGTCAATCTTGCATAAAGGAAGTTTACCTAGAATCTCGCAGCCTGATCATGGCCATCTGCATCTGGTCGCTGATGCCACCTTTAACGATTGTGACAGTAAAGCAGCAAGGCAAAGCTGTATTGGTTTAAATCCTGATATGGATTAGCTACTGTGCTGCCACAGATTTTGGTCTGGCTATTTTAAATAACAGTTTTTGTCACGCAGGAGCCATCCCATGTCAGGACAAAACATGTTTTCCCTGTAAATTTTCACTATAGAGTAGCGATTCAACTCCTTATACTGAGAGCTGAATCCAGACCGGATTTTCATGTACACCAACTAAGAGGCTATTTAATGCTTGTTGTGTAACCTCCACATCAATGGAGGAGACAAGGTTGATGGGAAAAGATGGATTGGATTATATGTACTTTTTGAGTCCTTTCAGACAGCAGAACTGTTGATCACCATGTAAGAAATTTCGATTTGAAGCTTTCGTGACTGCAAGGATTCATCTTCTTTGGTTCTTTCGGTAAAGTCACGTAGAATGAGAATAAAATAATAATAAAATAACACAATAAACGTCGTGAGAATTTAATTGTGTTATTTTATTATTTTATTCTCATTCTACGTGACTTTACCGAAAGAACCAAATAACACCATGTAAGAGTTGGACCTTCCTCTCCACCTCCGCATGTCTATGCATTCATAACCAGAAACATTTTTTGTAGAGTACCATTAATCCCATTGCATTCATATTGTCGTGTTGGACTGTATAATGCGGTGGATTTTTGGACCATTTTCAAGCCCTTTCACCCAGTTACGCCGCTACTTATCACAGCGCCACCTGGTGGCAAAACACCAACCAATGTTACATGCCCGAGTACGTGTGGGGTGGACAGGGTTCCAGATAAGCACGTACGGCTAGAAGAGCCAAGGCATGCAAAATATATTTGTTTACACATTCAAAAAAGTGGCCCAGTTTAGAGCAAGGTTGCATGGATCTCATAATGGCATGTTCAGGTTTAGCTCCCGTTTATAAATACAATTCTTATGAGCAACGTGAAAGGCATTGTAATAGCACAGCTAGAGTTAAGTTTCCAAAAACGCTGTCATCCGCTGAGTGTGTTAGTCACAATGCGTGTAATGAAAGTTGAAGTCACCAATGCTCTTACGCCGCTAACTTCTGCTTTCACGTGAATCCAATTGGATAGACCTGGCATGGGTGATTCACCAACACAGAATACAAAGTTTCCCCGAAATGAAGTCCCAGACACTTCCATTTACTGCTCCTGAACGGTGCATTCATTTGTATTTTGGGAAGTGTCTTGTTCTGACTACTTACAAAAAAACAGTTTTGTCAACGAGAACCTTTTTGGCCTCATTAACACTGCATTTTCGCTTTTTGACATTAATCCGTGCTCATTCTGCTGACATGACTGACTGGGTCACAGTAACCCAGTCTTTTGGTTTGAATTAATAGGTATTCAGCTTGTTTTCTGAGCACCACAATGTGATTCCCTCAACATGTTTGACAGGGCTCGTGTTGGCAGGGCAACGTATGATTGGGACTCATGTGGGGGCTACGAAGATTAATATTACCCAGTTAATTATAGCGCCACCCCGTGGTAAAGCAGCCACCACTGTTGCCACTCGTGTGTCAGGTGGATTCGTAGGTTCCAGATAAGAAACGCCTTTGGCTGAAAGACCCCAAAACCAAGTCACCCAGAAGAGATCGTTTACCTGTAAAAAAATGTGGCTCAGTTTGGAGTGATGGATTGAAAAGTTCTATGTAGCTCTCAATATCATGTTGACAGGTTTAGTGTTTATTTAAACCTTGGTGAGCAATGTGAACGACATTAAGAGCCTGGAACATCCACTGCATGTGTTTACTCGTGCCACATATGTTGAAAGTCGAGGTAACAATACGTATACAAGAACCTTTATCTTTAACATGAAGGCAATCAAATTTGGCATTAGCGGTTACTAAAACAGGGAATGGAAAATATTTTTTTTCCAGAATGGATTCGCATGCTTCTGCTCACACATTGGCTGCGATGGACTCGTGTGTGTGAATCTTTGGTCTATTGCAATGACATTGATTTATCCGAGCTCCACGTCACAGTCCTTCGGGTTGAACGAAGAGGTCTTGTGCATGTTCGCCGATCCCTAAAAAGTGGTTGCTTTAACGTCTCTCGATGCGTCGTGTTGGCACCGTGCAGTATGTGATGGTGACTGATGCGCTCGTCATGGGCTACACGGCGGAGGGGAACTGCCACGGAGACACGGAGATGGGCCTGCCGCCCCCTCGCCGCCTCCAGTGGGACATCCCAGAAGAGGCAAGTGGCAGGGACTTTGCCTGCGGCTCACTTGTAGGGATGTCAATCGTCTCCTTTTGTATGGCTGATGTATATGCATAGCAACAATTACAATTTTACATTCAGTTGGTCAAGCCAAATAACTGCATCAGGACCATGAAAACTAAAACTGTTTTATTTACCAGGTAAGGCTCACCGAGATATATCTCTTTTTTTTTTCCTGAAGCGACCCGGCCACAAATGATCACTCCATGAAGTGGTTTATCCCATTAAATGTACGCAGCCAAATAATCGAAAATAATGTTTATATCAGCAGAGTGTATTGCTGTAACGTCTCCTTTGTATTTGTGGATCGGGCATTGTGTCATTATGTTAAACGCTCTGTTCTGGATGATCCCGTTTGTAGTTAACCGCTTTTCATGTGAATGACTGCATTTAACCACAGAAATATTAAACCTTACTCTGGTGTGCGTTTGTAATATTCGCCTAGTTGAGTTATGTTTTGGGCTCATTCTTATGTTCTTGTCAATGATGGAAGTGAGTAAGTGTGCAATACACATTGAATATTATATACACCAGGATGTCTGATGAAAATTGAAGATTAGGCCAAATATTATCTTGAAGGGCTCTTAGAATTTGCTCTTGTGGAGGTCCTTCTTCCAGAAGTAGTGAGCAAAATACTTGGAGGACTTGACCTTTACCAACTTTTATATACTGTGTATGCCGATTGTGGCTATATAACATCGATTTTTATGGGCACCAATTTTATTTTCATTGTGTGTTTATATAAAGTAGTAGTTTTGCTGATTAACGAGCAAAATTAATTAACCTAAAATTTATATTCCCATCTTGTTTTGCCTGTTTTGGCATTTGTGCACCAAGAACAGCCATAGCCTCTGGAAGGCCACGTTACACATTAACAAGTCCTGGAGTTGACACCGGTATTATGGGTTGAAAAACTTTGCCGATTGGCATATCCGCTTCGCTACCTGCAGTCTACACTTTACCTGATGCTCTGCCTGTTGCGCGCGTGCACACGTGTGTTGTACGCTCGTGTTGTGATCGGGGTGGGGGGGGGGGGATGTACGTATGCTCCGGCTCACAGTGCCAGGAGGTGGTGGAGGACTCGATGCGCGTGGCCCAGGCGCTTGCCGATGACGTCGACTGCTGCACCTTTGCGATCACCGACTTTGGCAAGGGCTTCATCAAGAAGTTCCGCACGAGCCCAGACGCCTTCGTGCAAGTCATGCTCCAGCTGGCACACTTCAGGGTATGCCCTCGCACACGTCTAAACATACAAAATTATAGACGATTCATTTCACCAGTGAATGCCCCACTGGGATATATAGCTCTTCTTCACAAGAGACCTGGCCACAAGTGCCAGCTCGACCATGAGGAGTATTATTACGTGGAAATGGATAGCAGCCAAATGCTCTTTAAACGCACGTTTCTAAATGTGGAGGGGAAAACAGGAAGACCCGGAGAAAAATCCACACGAACACTGGGAGAACATGCAAAGCCCAAATGTACAGGCGTCGGGGTGAGATCGAACCCACAAACTCCTGTATACCAGGAGAGATGGTTAGCGTCTCACCACATGGTACATGTATGGAGCCCACACCTAAACCGTCAATATAAGCGGAGACCATAATTACACATTCGGCAGCTCCCATTGGACGATGATGCCTGTTTGCTTGCTTCGGATAGTGAACCATATAATTATTTTAACTTCCAGTGCTCTATGTGTCCGTTAGGTATCTACTGTGGTGGCTGCAGTGTAAGTGATATAAAGTTATGGTGTCAAAGCGTGCTGAGTACAGCGTTGCAGATTCTATCATTAGACCAAGCTAGGAGGGTGTCTCAGTGGCTTACAATAAATTATAAGGCTGCGAGTACAAATTCTGGTTGGTGGTGAACTCGGCCCATCATCCCTTTGAGGTCAATAAAGTGATTAACCACTTTGATGTCAAGAGTGGCTATACTATGGATAGACGCGCTACCCACCATCAGAATATAACATTTACCAATCGCTGAGGGCTATAAACAGGAGATGAGCACCGCCCTAACGTTCGTTTGAGCAGGGGAATCCCTTTGACTCGAACGATACCATTTTAAGTGACCGCCAATCGCAACACATTGTCGCTTTGGGTAAAACCCACGTGTTTGCTCGCAGGACATGGGAAAGTTCTGCCTGACGTACGAGGCGTCTATGACGCGGCTGTTCAGGGAGGGCCGCACGGAGACCGTCAGATCCTGCACGAGCGAGGCCTGCGCATTTGTTCGCTCCATGCAGGACCCCAACGTCACCGTGAGTTGTTTTTTTCCCCACATGCTGCTGCTGCAGCAGGTTCACACACAATGCCACAACAAAGACATCCATGGCCCACCAAATGTTTTTCAAACAGCAGCTGCATGTCTTCGTCTTCTTTCGTCAGGTGGGGAAATTGATTGGCAATGTTTATGTTCCTGATGAGGTTGGTAAATAAATAGGATGACTTCAGGAGTAACTTGGTAAATATCTGAAATGCTGCCAGTGAATGATCGAAGTGGCCAGTGGTGTGCAATGTGATCCATGGTTCGGGATTGGTGATTGCAGTCGCACCTGCAAGTGTAAATTAATTCAATGCCGCCAAGACAGCATCCAATCGGAGTTTTAATAAAGTGTCGCGTGATGAACCAAGTGTTTGCCTGATCTCATCTTTCTAGTTTGGCATGGGCAGCAATGAAGTTGGTGTGTTTTTATTTTATTTTAGTAGCTTGGTGGTATATAATTACCAATTCCCCAAAGCACTCAGAATTTGTCATGGACTTAATAAAGCTTGTGTGTGCTTGCATGTCAGCACTACATGCTATTTGAGTAATTCCTGTCTTCATTCTTCAGTAATGGTGAGGCCTTTGTTAGCCACATTATTGGCATCTTTGTTTTCTATACTAATTGCTGTCTAAATGATCTCATTTGTATTTAAAATAAGCACTGATCATTTAAAGTTATTGTACAAAATAGGGAAGAAAAACAAGTGCTGTATTTGATTTTGACAGCCCTTTTTTAAAAACCAAAACCCACATATAGGTTTAGTGCTATGATTAAACCATTAGTATGGTGATAGGACTGGTATTTATGTAGTGGTCAGTATTTCAGCAAACGTTTATTCATCCTACTTGGAGTCAGTGGTGCTGTAGTGTTATCCAAGCATGTCTTCTTTTATATCTTGCTAGATTATTTTTGCTTGTGACTCAGAGCCCAATGATACCAGAAGTCTCTCTTAAAGGAGATATTGTGAAAATGATCATTGTATGGTTGTGCCACATTCATAATTAATTGCAGCGGTGACAGTGGTTTTTTATGTATGTTGTCATCTCATTCAGTCAACTCATGGCACCTGAGTCTGTCCTTTGACCTCTTGCCAGCGGGGTTCGACACTTGACATGGCTTTAAAGTACACACTGCCTGGCACAAGCGCCGTGGTAACGTCACTGACACTTAGTGGCGAATGGGGCTTGTTGTTTGTTGACTTTCTTTTGCATCTTACGTAGCTAACCGTGCAACTCGACAAGGCCCCTGCTTTTTATCGCACGCCGCGTAACCTGAGAGCACAACAGAGATAGCTCAGTGAGAAAAATTAGAATGTCAACGCTGGTGATGGTGTTCCGGTGGACTGTGTGGTTGTGCAGGCAGCGGAGCGGGTGGCCCTGTTCCGCACCGCCATGGATAAGCACCAGAGGATGTACCTGCTGGCCATGACAGGTTTGGGCATCGACCGCCATCTCTTCTGCCTCTACGTTGTGTCGCGCTACCTCGGCCTCGAGTCGCCTTTCCTCAAGGAGGTGCGATGCCTGTGGACGTTGAACGCACTGTTTCCAGCGAGTCTTTTTGCCTTGTTTTTATCGCCCAGTTTATAAGGTTGGACCTTACTTGATGACACCATTTATTTGATAATTAAAGTTTGTTTCTCGCAGTGTCTGACATGGAGGCATTGTTAAGTGTCAGTTTCAAAATAAAACGTCAGTTGGTGGTGTCTTGAGGAAATATAACTTTGTGCGAGAGTGGATTAGTTAAATGAAATACTGTGACGTAGAAAAGAAACCACGTTCGTAATGGTATGTGTACATGTGCTGCAGGTCCTATCTGAGCCTTGGCGGCTGTCCACAAGCCAAACGCCACTGCAGCAAACCAAGATGTTTGACCCCAACCAGAATCCGGATTACGTCACGTGCGGTGGAGGATTTGGCCCTGTAAGTTTTATGTTTTTAAATCACGGTTGCAGAGCGCTTTCCCAAAACGCTCAGCGGAACGCAATAAGCGACACTGTTGAAGGTGTAATCGATAATAGTTAATGTTTCTTGAGTTGAGCAGGGGGAGATAAGAACTTGGGAAAAGAGAGACGATTGGTGGGGAAAATTTGAGGGAAGGGGCTGGTTCTGTAGCGGACGGTGGCGGTAAGAGGCATCCTTGAATGCTCGTCACTTACCAGCTATGATCTTGTTTATACTCAAAAGTTGTCTTCACTTTATTAATTTGCGAGTAGATTCATAGAGATGGTTAACATTAGGATTCTTCAAGCTGTGTCCTTGGATGTCCTTGCTCTTTCAAGTTTCAAATCTTTGTAAAATGTCCTTTATTAAATGTCAGATGGGTAATGGTAAAATGTTCGTCGTAAAAGTGTGCTTTAAAAAGAAGTGGTGATTTTTATCAGTTAATGTTTGGTTTCCCCATTTTTTTCACCGATTATTTCGAAGCAGTTGTGCTTTCATGTATTGTGCACAGCAGCATGCAGTGGTAATGGATTTACTAACGTTATTTTATGTTGTATATAGGTTGCTGATGATGGGTATGGTGTCTCTTACATCATCATTGGAGAAAACATGATCAACTTTCACATCTCCAGCAAGAACTCCTGCCCGGACACTGTGAGTAATGTAAATGGCATTGATTTTGCTTACATGCCCATGTGCTGCCTGTGGATGTCATGTTGACTGATGCTATTTAAATTCCACTTTGTATTTATAACACATTTAAATACAACCGTATCTGAAAATGATATACAAAATAGTGGGATGTGCATCGTGGGTGGGGGGGGGGAGTTGGTGTGTATATACAGTGAGGGAAAAAAGTATTTGATCCCCTGCTGATTTTGTACGTTTGCCCACTGACAAAGAAATGATCAGTCTATAATTTTAATGGTAGGTTTATTTAGTTTAACACGTAGGCTTTCGCGACCAATATTATTCATAATAAAGGTTTTTGGGTTAGATCGCGTTTATTTATAAATGTGTCGTAACCCTCCACCACCCGACACGGCCAATCAGCAAAAAAAAAGTGTCACGTTGACAAAAGACAAATAATTCACTACTTCAGCCCACCGGTGTGTTGAAGAGTTAATCCACATTTACAGTTTGAGTACGACGTTTCGCTGGTAAATACTTCCAGCATCATCGGGCAATTTGCCAGAATGGTAAAGCCCTCTGCTTGCTCCCGGTTTTATATAGAGCAGCAGGGTGACGTCATCACTTAACTCATCAGGTGCAGTGATTAGAGGCGGAGGGGGGGGGTAATGTAATTATATAATCGATTAGTAATCAGTCATTGGTTATGATTAGTAATGAGTTGTAGATTAGTAATTCTTTAAATCAAAATGTAATGTGTATTATTTAATAATACGCTTCCAGGCCGCACTAAGCCGGTAGCTGTCAGAGCGATTAAAGTTATTCTTGTTCCTCTCAATTTCAATGGATTCTCTAATTAGTCTTTGCCAGTAATAATTAGTTTTACACACCACTGCAACATTGTCAAAATCAATTGAGTGTCCTTGTTGACAAGCATGTTCTGCCACTGCCGACAGTTGTGTTTGAGATAATTTAATATTTCTCTGATGTTCTTTAAGTCTTACGCTGATGTTAAGTCCCGTCTGCCCAATGTAGCAGCTGCCACATGAACAATTAATCCGATATACACCTTCTGTTGATAGTTTAGGTAATGCGTCTTTAGTGCAAGATACTAGTTTTTGAATTTTGTGTACTGTACCAAATCTTACTGTAATGTTTTGCTTTTGCAAAACGCGGGCTAGTTTGTCAGTTACTCCTGAGATATATGGAATTTTTATTGTTTTAACAATCTGGTCGCTTTCAGTAGTATTGCTTTGCGATCGTGATTTGGCATTCAGTGCTCTGTTAATTTGAGCATTATTGTAGCCATTCTGTCGTAGTGCGTCTTTAACGTGTTTAATCTCTCTCACTAGACTCTCACCATCTGACACTGTTTTTGCCCGATTTAAACAGTGAGAGACAGGATAACAACAAAAAAATCCATAAAAATGCATGTCAAAAATGTTATAAATTGATTTGCATTTTAATGAGGGAAATAAGTATTTGACCCCTCTGCAAAACATGACTTAGTACTTGGTGGCAAAACCCTTGTTGGCAATCACAGAGGTCAGACTTTCTTGTAGTTGCCCACCAGGTTTGCACACATCTCAGGAGGGATTTTGTCCTCCTCCTCTTTGCAGATCTTCTCCAAGTCATTAAGGTTTTGAGGCTGACGTTTGACTACTCGAACCTTCAGCTCCTTCCACAAATTTTCTATGACATTAAGGTCTGGAGACTGGCTAGGCCACTCAAGGACCTGAATGTACTTCTTCTTGAACCACTCCTTTGTTGCCTTGGCCCTGTGTTTTGGGTCATTGTCATGCTGGAATACCCATCCACGACCCATTTTCAATGCCCTGGCTGAGGGAAGGAGGTTCTCACCCAAGATTTGACGGTACATGGCCCCGTCCATTGTTCCTGTCCCCTTAGCAGAAAAACACCCCCAAAGCATAATGTTTCCACCTCCATGTTTGACGGTGGGGATGGTGTTCTTGGGGTCATAGGCAGCATTCCTCCTCCTCCAAACACGGCGAGTTGAGTTGATTGCCAAAGAGCTCCATTTTGGTCTCATCTGACCACAACACTTTCACCCAGTTGTCCTCTGAAGCATTCAGATGTTCATTGGCAAACTTCAGACGGGCATGTATATGTGCTTTCTTGAGCAGGGGGACCTTGCGGGCGCTGCATGATTTCAGTCCTTCACAGCGTAGTGTGTTACCAATTGTTTTCTTGGTGACTATGGTCCCAGCTGCCTTGAGATCATTGACAAGATCCTCCCGTGTAGTTCTGGGCTGATTCCTCACCGTTCTCATGATCATTGCAACTCCACGAGGTGAGATCTTGCATGGAGCCCCAGGCCGAGGGAGATTGACAGTTCTTTTGTGTTTCTTCCATTTGCGAATAATCGCACCAACTGTTGTCACCTTCTCACCAAGCTGCTTGGCAATGGTCTTGTAGCCCATTCCAGCCTTGTGTAGGTCTACAATCTTGTCCCTGACATCCTTGGAAAGCTCTTTGGTCTTGGCCATGGTGGAGAGTTTGGAATCTGATTGATTGATTGCTTCTGTGAACAGGTGTTTTTTATACAGGTAACAAGCTGCGATTAGGAGCACTCCTTTTAAGAGTGCTCCTAATCTTAGCTCGTTACCTGTATAAAAGACACCTGGGAGCCATACATCTTTCTGATTGAGAGGGGGTCAAATACTTATTTCCCTCATTAAAATGCAAATCAACTTATAACATTTTTGACATGCGTTTTTCTAGATTTTGTTGTTGTTATTCTGTCTCTCACTGTTCAAATAAATCTACCATTAAAATTCTAGACTGATCATTTCTTTGTCAGTGGGCAAATGTACAAAATCAGCAGGGGATCAAATACTTTTTTTCCCTCACTGTATATACGGTATATATATTTTTTAAAGACTGGTTTAAATGTTCTCAATCTCGAGCCTGTTTATAAATTTTCCTGAATTAATATTCCTGCTAATGTAATTTCTTTAATGACATCGTACACCCTTAATTGAATAATGGAAAAATTCCAATTATATAAATAGATAATTGTTGAGCACTTGGCCCAGAATTAGAATAGGGTAAGAGTGGGTGGTGCAAGTGATGTCTGAACATATTTTTGACCTCCCTTGAGGTCAGCATTCAGCCTTCAATGAGTATCTCGTGCACAGTGTACATATCATCTCTGGCGTGGTGCTGTCCAACCTCATTCTGTGCCATATCTGCCTTGGTAGGTTCTCACTAAAGAGAAGGTGCCCTTAGCAGTTTGTATGATGATATGGGTGATCTTGGCCTTTGTGCAGGCACTTAACGCAGTTATTACTTGGGAGAATAAGGGACTGTGAGAGCATTGTGGAATAGAGTTTGCATGTTTTTTCGTTTCAGGATTCCAGCCGGTTCGGACGGAACATCCGGAAGGTGCTCCAGGAATTGAAGGACATGATCGAATCAGAGATGAAGTCCAAGTAGGAGGGAGTGAGCAGCCTGTCTGCTGCATACCCACATGCACCCCTTGTTAGCATGCAGATCCCCAGTGCTCACAGAGAAGGGCCACTTTGTAGTTTTTTTTTTAACTTAAATGTATCTCAAATACAGAATGAATGCCAAAACTTTAGTGTAGCTGGGCATGACTGGTTACTGGTGAGATGACGAGTGTTACATTCATCGGGCATTAATATGGCATTAAAGTAGAATTGCGAGTACAGAATAACGATATATGTGTTTTTGGTGAAGCTCCATCTAAGCAGGTGGGCATCTAAGCAGTGATGACACAAATGTACACGTACATTTATTTATCCACATCAGCATATAATACAACACTCACTATACTAACAGTGCATAGAGTTCTTCTCTCTTGCCTCGGTGGGGGAAGTGGGCATTATTCATGTTAAAATCTTTTATATGTTTTAATAAATTCACTGCTTGTTCAATGCATTTATTAAAACGCATTGTGCCTTTGGTTTTGGTTATGCTGTATCTTTAACGCCGAGAATGCTAAATAAAAGTTTACAAAATAGATTTTTTTTTCATATGGAACCAAGTTAGTTTTTTTCGTAAAAAATTGAGCCAAAATACACAACCATGGCTACAGGGTGCGACGATTTAGATGGCAACAGATTTGTGCTACAAATACAAAGATCTGTTAACAGGCTGTTGGGGCAAATGCTGTTAGCGAGCACCTAACAGCACTTGGTAAACACTTGCACATCCTGATTGCCTTCTAGCATCCACGCATCCCTCGTGAACATATTCAGCGATATGGGCACTGGTTCTGGCCCGGTTGTTGGTCTGTGTGGTGGAAATCCAATGATTCTATAAAAATGTAATTTTCATATTGTAGAGAGGTGTCTCCAGATAAACACTCGGACTTTTTTGCATATCAACACCAACGGCGTGCAGTCTATAGCATACACATCCCGGGATACACCCAATAGTCAGTCCTGTGATTGTGTAGCTGCTCGATAGTTGTTACTTTTGTGAAACTGGGTTTAGAAATGTTGCAAGTGTTACAGAGCACAACTTGTCGTGGCACTTTAGTGCAAAACAAAATTACACCACCACATAATTACTATGTACTTGCTATTTCTGTAGTATTTCGACATATGAGGTATAATCCTGCTTGTATTCTTATCCCAAATGTTTCTGCTGTCAATGCTTCAATTTTAAAATGTTTTCTGCCAGCACTGATGGCATTCAGTTTTTATCGCAGTATTTGGCCTCTCCTTGTGGGCTTCTGGAGCTTGTGACTGAATATGGTTGAATGCTGCCTTTCCAGGGTGCATAGGCAAGGGTTGCAGTCATTTCAGCAGACGTTTATGTTCCGCACAGTTGGCTATGTATGGTGCAAAATAACTTCTGTATACATACAATAGGAACACAATAATGACGTAGCATCTTTTGTTCACCACCAGTGGAAATAGGCATGCATAATAATAATCCGAGTGCAAGTTTTGTTTGAACATTCATTGGAAGAAAATCCAGTCGTATGCAATGGTAACTTGTTATGTAAATCATACTTTTTTATGGATGTTTAACAAATGTAATGTTGACGTTTATAATTGTAAAGTGTTCTCATTGCTTCAAAACTTTGTTGTAAACAGGTAATGTAATAATACCAGCATCATGTTGGTTGAATGCAACATGTCTAAAAACGCGTCATCTGCCTTCTGTTGTTAAACATCAAAAGAATGTCACTCAACTTGGGGTTATACTGCGATTATTATACATTTATAAATAACTCTTCTGGACTCTTAACAGATTTAATGTTTGTACATTTATCGTTTTGTACTTATGTTGGTCATATTTTCCCTTTTTAAACTTCGATGATTGCCCTGAAGATTTACATTTGGAGACACACGCCTATATTTTAGACACGATGCGAATTTCTAACTAATGGTGATCAGGCTTCCAGGAACTCCCCAGTGGTCTTGTTTTAAAACAACAAACCTAATTAAAAGGGAATATTTTCGAAAAAATGCGGTGTTTTAATTTCGTGGTCTTCCACAATTACCATATTGTAACATTTGGATGAGAACCTAGAGTAAATGTAACTTATACAAACTTCCACGTTTTAAGAACTAAATATTTTTCTCGATGTAAACAATGCTAACCCTATATGCATTTTCCTCACTAAAGAATTGCATTTTTACGAAACATACTAAGCATATAAAATCACAAATTGTGTTGCTATGCTTTACATGTCATCGTTTGTCTGACTTTGCAAAACAGCTCTCCCAGACTGCAAGCAGAGCTTCGCTGAGAGCCACATTGAGATGTAGCCATTCGATTGAATTTAGTTAGAAGCCATATAGGAGGAAGTACCGTCTGTCTTTACTACTCTTAAAGCTATTTGAAGTTACTGAATGATGGCACGGACTAAATTAGCTACACCTGAAGTGGAATGTTGGTAAGTTAAGAGACAAAACTTCACGAACACATGCCTTGCTGAAACCTATTCGCATAGGCGACGCACAAGAAAAGCCGTTCAATGCAAGCGAAGAGTAGTGTCCATTCCTAAATGTTATATAAATGTGTATGTTATTGTGATGCAAGAGCAATGCAAATACTTGGATTTCTGATGGGTGATTTGTCTTAAAGCAAATTCGTGCAGTGTGTGCAAAGTGAGTTATTCCCGTGGCTTGCATGATTCGAGGATCCTGTAATCTTGAACAATGTTAGATGTGCACAGAATAAGAAAATCTACAAGGGAAGATACGGACTGATTGACCATGGCTTGATTTATATTTGCGCTTGTACCATAGATTTATTTTATTTAGGTTCCCATGTTACATGGAATTTTATCACAATTTCTATGGTATTTTTCAAATCTTGCCTTGACAGCAAAATACCAGGCTGCCACCTCATTCCAATCTTAAGGGTGTAATAGATGATAAAATGACCAGCAGCGTGTCTCCTTGAACATGACTTGTATATTCACTGAGATGGACATGTTAATATACCGCGTAAATATAAAATGTGTAAATGGTTAATTCCTGTAATACTATTTACATTTGTGTTGACACCCATAGTTAAAATCCCATTTCTAAGCAAAATTACATCAGATTGAATTGTGCTTGCTTAAGAAAAGGTTCAACATCGTAAATGTTAACACATCGTCTGAAAGTAGTTTTCTAGTGTTTAGCACTATAGTTGTAATATTCAAGCAACAGTACTCTTTTTTTTGGTACACTTTCTGCGTTGCCCCGTTTTAAGTCTACTCATGCTACTCATGCTCTATGTTTGTGTGAATTTTAAGGTGGAGGAATGGAATTATGTTTGGTGCTTTTGGTGTTTCCATTCGATGCTTTACCATGCACTGGAACCTAGGGCCCGGGCCGCAACTATCTGTGCAGTGATAATTCAAAGATGATACCTCCTGCTGAAGCTTTGTGGTGCAGGTAACAATAGATCGTGCACTGCCCATTTTATCAGCATCCCACTGCTATATGAGCTACCCCCCACAACTTGCTGGCTGTGAGGGATGTTTGACCATACCTGACGCTGGTGATAAAAGAACATGATAATAGAACATCATATTTGGCTTGTGTGCTTCCTGTCCACAAGTTATAGGTTACTTCCTTGAAGCTACTGAGATCATCACATGGGGTGTTTTGTGTTGTTTAACTGTCTGATCAATGCAATTGTGAACTGTGGCATTATTTAGCAATGTTGGGAATAAACTTATGGTTTTTGTGATCACGAAAGTTGTGCTTGTTTTCGTCATTTAAGATTAACTTTAATGAGAACACAATTATGAGGGTAGCTGTTTTTTAAGCATTTGATGCTTGTGAGGTGGTTTTAATGTCAGCATTCATATTTCATGCACTTTCAAAATTGTAAAACAAGCAGTTGTCCACCTTGTCAGAAATTGTATGAGGAAGATGTTATAAAAGTAGTTGTGGTCTCATCAATAGACCTCTTTATCCACATGACGGGCAGACTTTAAGATTCCCTGAAAAAGAGTTAATTGGATGTCAATCAAAACCTTCATTATCAGAGCTGGTGATAATACATTTTGTTGTGTGCAGTACATGACCAACAACGCTGCATTTCAGAAGCCAGTTTAATCATGGGTGGTTTAAATATGGATTTTTGTTTTACCAGGTAAGGCCTGGTAAAACAAGTCGTCTTTCAGTAGCGACTTGACCATAAGTGATAGCCCAACGAGGTGACTTATCACGTGGAAATTTATTGCAGCCCAATTATCTAAACGCATGTATGTAAATGTGTAAGGAAAAACCGGAGGACCCCGACAAAAATCCACACGACCACGGGGAGAGACACGCAAACTCCAAATATACAGGCATCTGGGTCAGGATCGAACCCACGATCTCCTGTATACCCCGTGAAGTAGTTAACGTCTCTTCAGCGTGGCACCCCATTCAAACTCGGAATCTTAGTTGTGCCAGCTTAGCTCTTCTCAACCAACCTGCCACCTCGCATTGAAATCCGTTGTAAGCATTCCAATCGCCCCCGCTACAGCCAAGGACATTACATTGTATGTATAACTTTTACACCATACAAATCCATCCGTGCTAATCGGAGGTGCGGGCACTAATCGCAGGAGCTGGCATTTGAAGTCCAGGTTTCTGGACAGTTTAGGCGATGCTGCTGAAGATGGAGGGCATAGCCTTTGGGTTTATACAAAAAAAAAACTGAGGTGGCTGGGTGGCTTTGAGGTACGAGGGCTTAACTGGAACCCACAGAATCCTGAGTTTGTGTGTTTCGGTTGCCTGTGATTAAAATAGGTTCTCGAGTGATGGGCTCAGTGCAGTCACCAATGGCCTGTAGAAGCCAAAATATTCGTCGTTAATTAGGTCCAAGTTATTGCTTGGAGAATTGGCAAGTTAGTGAGCACCTATGAAGTTTGGCAGGGTGTGTGATGGAAGTGGTATGGCCACCACACGTGGCCGATTTTATCGTCCAAATTCCAGTTCACAATGTACCAGGTACACTTTTAAGACCTGGTCAATATAGCGGAGGCCCAGGACCATAGGACAGTGCGTGAACCAGTGCGATGCTGCTCGACACAACAACCGACATTCACTATGGTGCTTGTGCCAGGCTAGGTGCACCTTGAGGCAATGAAATGTCGAATGCTCGTTGGCAGGAGATCACAGGATAGAACTAGGTGTTATGAGCTAAGGGCACGTCCATAAATAGCGTCACGCACCTAGGGGTGGGGGGGGTTGAGAAATGTGACGTCACATCACAATGCGCAACTTTAAATAAATATAGACAACACGTTCTACTTAATAAATAGACTTTTTAAGAAATGTTTTCTCCTACAACATCAGAGTGCAGCGCCACATTAAATACGCACTACAATGACAATAGTTTAAAGTGATTTGAAGCATGTTTTATTTTCAAAATGTAAATATGATTGTGGGGGGGCAGAGCTTTGTGACGTCATATTTGGGGGGGGTCTGACTCTTTGTGACGCCATGTGACGAAGGGGGGGGGGGGGGGGTGCGTCAAAAATCGTCCAAAATCGCGTGACGTCAAATCTAAAAAGATTTCCAAAATTCTAAACAAACACAAGATCCAGGTCCGGTTCCATACAGTACACAAAATTCGTGATCTGATCCCATCCGTGAAGGATGTCATTCCTGATTTACAGTACCCCGGGGTTTACAAATTGAGTTGTACCTGCGGTGATTGCTACATCGGTGAGACAAAGCGACATGTCTCTGACCGAATTCGCGAGCACAAATCAGATTTGAAACACGGCAAAACGAATTCTTCTGCCGTGGCTGATCACTGTTACAACGCTGTGGGGGGTCACGATATAATTTTCTCCGATACCAAGGTTCTTTGCAAACCCACGGGCTTTTATCAGAGATTTGTTCATGAAGCAATTCAGATCTACAAACACAGACACAATTTCAACCGAGAGGATGGTTTCAAATTAAGCAACCGTTGGAAAGATGTTCTAAATCGAACTAAACATTAAACTAATTTCAATGGTACAGTATATTTTTCAAGTAGTGGTACCCCAAACTTTCGCAGCTTTTATAAATCCCCCCTTTTCACACCATCAATAGGTAAACTCCCCCTCCCCCCCTTCCCCCCCGCCCCAAACTGCGAGTCCACCGGCACGTACACCACCTCTTTCCTAAAATCTGCCAATCAAATGCTAAATTTTCATGCTAATTTCTTTGTCAGAACACCATGTTTGCTCGCACACAGGTCCGATGTCTGAGCGTGGTTGTGTTTCGCTAAATTCTTCTGTTTGATAAGTACTAGGTGCCTCGGTGAATGTATATGCTCTAACTTTAACATAGCTATTTCTGTGACCAGTTACAAGCTAATCACTCAGCTATTTCAATGCTAAATTCTATGCTAATTCCTTTGTCAAGGGGTACCTCTGAGGATGTGTATACTTTAACTTAGCTATTTCAATGAGCCATTTCGATGCTAAATTATATGCTAATTCCTTTGTCAAGGCGCGTGGTCTTTTTCTTCTCACACAGCCTAAAGGTCGTGATCTAAGTGTGGCTTCTTCCACTCCAGCGCTGTCCTCCAGACAGTCTCGTCCCTTCACCTGATGAAGGCCACTTGTGTTGTGGCCGAAACGTCGTGATTTTTTGTTATTTTATTTTCACCTACGTGACTTTACCCAATAGAACCAAAGAGTATGAATTCCGTAAACTTGATCCTTGATTTAAGGTCAAATTCAGGATGGGGGTCCCATAAGCCTCCGGCTCTCGCATAAACTGCGTTGCGACGTCATTTTATATCCGAAGGCGAACGATACGGCCATCGATTCCTCTCGACGAACTCTACACGATACGCTAATCAAAGTTTCAAAGTTGTACTCTTTGGTTCTATTGGGGAAAGTTGGGTAAAGTCCTCCAGACTGTCCTCCAGACAGTCTCGTCCCTTCACCTGATGAAGGCCGCTTGTGTTCTGGCCGAAACGTCGTGATTTTTTGTTATTTTTTTCACCTACGTGACTTTACCCAATAGAACCAAAGAGTATGGATCCTAGCAGTCACGAAAGCTTTAAATCTAGAATTTCAAAGTTGTGTTTATAACTACGGCAACGACCCGGGTGCTTGGTGAAGAAGGAGAGGATTGATAAATTTCGAAATATTTATTTATTTTAAAATAAATACACCGTTTAAAAATAAATAGATTTATGCAAACCGACACACCTGATGACGACCGTTTGTGTTATGGTCGAAACGTCATGAGAATTTTGATTGTTTTATATATATTTTATAATTTTATTGTTTCCCTTCAACGTGACTTTACCGAAAGAACTAAGAATATGTAGCCTGGTTATTAACCTGAGTGTACTGACAGTCTATAATGTAAACTGTAACCTGGTTATTAACCTGAGTGAGTGTACTGACAGTCTATAATGTAGACTGTAGCCTGGTTCTTAACCTGAGTGAGTGTACTGGCAGTCTATAATGTAGACTGTAACCTGGTTCTTAACCTGAGTGAGTGTACTGACAGTCTATAATGTAGACTGTAGCAATGGTTATTAAGCTGAGTGAATGTACTGACAGTCTATAATGTAGACTGTGGCAATGGTTATCAAACTGAGTGTACTGGCAGTCTATATTGTAGACTGTAGCAATGGTTATTAAGTTTGGTGAGTGTACTGACAGTCTATAATGTAGACTGTAGCCTGGTTCTTAACCTGAGTGAGTATACTGGCAGTCTGTAATGTAGACTGTAGCAATGGTTATTAAGTTTGGTGAGTGTACTGGCAGTCTATAATGTAGACTGTAGCCTGGTTCTTAACCTGAGTGAGTGTACTGGCAGTCTATGATGTAGACTGTAGCAATGTTTATTAAGTTTGGTGAGTGTACTGGCAGTCTATAATGTAGACTGTAGCCTGGTTCTTAACCTGAGTGAGTGTACTGACAGTCTATAATGTAGACTGTAGCCTGGTTGTTAACCTGAGTGAGTGTACTGACAGTCTATAATGTAGACTGTAGCAATGGTTATTAACCTAATTGAGTGTACTGACAGTCTATAATGTAGACTGTAGCCTGGTTCTTAACCTAAGTGAGTGTACTGACAGTCTATAATGTAGACTGTAGCCTGGTTCTTAACCTGAGTGAGTGTACTGACAGTCTATAATGTAGACTGTAGCCTGGTTCTTAACCTAAGTGAGTGTACTGACAGTCTATAATGTAGACTGTAGCCTGGTTCTTAACCTGAGTGAGTGTACTGGCAGTCTATAATGTAGACTGTAGCCTGGTTCTTAACCTAAGTGAGTGTACTGACAGTCTATAATGTAGACTGTAGCCTGGTTCTTAACCTGAGTGAGTGTACTGGCAGTCTATAATGTAGACTGTAGCAATGGTTATTAAGTTTGGTGAGTCTACTGGCAGTCTATAATGTAGACAGTAGCCTGGTTATTAAGCTGGGTGAGTGTACTGACAGTCTATAATGTAGACTGTAGCCTGGTTCTTAACCTGAGTGAGTGTACTGAGAGTCTATAATGTAGACTGTAGCAATGGTTATTAAGTTTGGTGAGTGTACTGGCAGTCTATAATGTAGCCTGTAGCAATGGTTATTAAGTTTGGTGAGTCTACTGACAGTCTATAATGTAGACAGTAGCCTGGTTATTAAGCTGGGTGAGTGTACTGACAGTCTGTAATGTAGACTGTAGCCTGGTTCTTAACCTGAGTGAGTGTACTGGCAGTCTATAATGTAGACTGTAGCAATGGTTATTAAGTTTGGTG